TCTAGAGAAGTAACTTTTTATTCAACAAAAAGTGCTCCTTTCTTTATTTAGTGGAGAACAAAAAAAAAAATTTCTACATTCGCTTCTTTTATATATAGTTCTGAAAAATAGAAATTCAAAAATTCTTTGACTTTGATGACTTCTAGGATCGTAATTTTCAATTTATGTAGGTACAAAAATTTTCAACGCCTTGTGCAATATTATTTTTATAATTATTTATTCTAGTTATAAAAAAAAAGTTCTCGACACACGTTACAATATAAGAAAATTATATCTATTTTAATAATTAACAAAAATAATAAAAATTTAGAAGGTTTTAACTATAATTTGACAGTAATTGATTTTATAGAAATCTCCACAAAAATTTCAGTAATTTTTTTTTTTTTTAATGATTTTTGATGAAAATCTACTTGTATTGAAATCACTAAATTGTCAGTTCACTGAATTTCGGTAAAATTTAAATGATTAAATTACAATTCCCATTTGCTTATCAAAGAGCATAAAAAATAAATCTATTTTTTAAATTCCCTTATTGAAACTATATATATACTGCATAAAAAATAATAAAAAATATATAACATATGCATTGGGTAGAAATGTAACCTTCTGTGCGGACACTTTCAGATTAATGTTGGTATTATTAAATTTCCAAAAGATACTATACATTATATAGGGATATTTATAGAATTTTGACATAAGTTGGCAACACTGTGCTCATCTAAATTCAAATAGTTACCTAGGTAACAATACAAAATATGAAATATTAACAAACTTTATATGTTGGCGCTTTAAAAGTTAAAATTCAGAACAAAATTTATACAATAAAGAAAATAAATCTGATTACATTATTATCAAAGGAAAAAATTAATATTTTGAGAAATTGAATCTTTTATGATTAATTTATTTAAAAATAATTAATTCATTGAGAAACAATTGAAAAGTATTGTTAATATTATCACTCTCTAAATTTAAATTAATGGGAATTCGTTAACTAATTTAAATTAGTGAAAATTTCCACTACTTTTTATTCATTTTTCACTAAAACTTTAGTAAAAAAAAAGGTATTACTAAATCAAATAGTAATATTTTACTGAAAATTTCTACTAATTTGAATTAGTGATTATTATGTAAATTCAAATTTAGAAAGCATATATAGGGGTGAAAAAATGATGTTTAAATTTTTTTGAAAACCCTCAATTTATTGAAAGAAAGAAAAAGTACTTTTTTTAAACATTAAATACATATCACTTGACACTAAATGTATTTGATGACATTTTTCGTTGGACAGTTGGGTATCAGGAGTAAGGTAGACAGGACCCATAAAGTGCTAGGAGGTTCGTCTACTGACAAAAACGAGCCATATGTGACTGGCGTTATACAAATATCGTAGCCCTCAATACAAAGGCACCATTCACTGCCATGTCCACCTGTCGGTATCGATGCCTGGACGCCCTACAAATGCCATACTGCTCATTTTTCTTTAATAAAAATCTATAACTGAATATATATATGTATACATATATATATCTGTATATATATATATATATATATATATATATATATATACAGAACGACTTCTTTTATATTTATGTTGTCCTGTTAAAAGCGTCCCTTATTGAGTTATTAAGGGTGAATTTTAGCGACGGCTATTCACCCCTAGTAATTCTTAAATATCAATTATTTCTATTTATTTACAAATAGAGGAAAAATATTTTCGCGATAAATATTATTTTTTCAACAAATATTGTACTTGATATTATTAAGTATTTATTAAATTATTAATTTAGTTTCGTTATTTTCAGAAATTTATTTATTTTTTATAAATAAATATATAATATTTGTTTGCGCACATCAATATTAAAACTATAATAATATACTCTATGTACTATACACTACCTCTGTATCTCTATAGGGCTATAAGCCCGTTGGTTAATTAAATAAATAAATAATATCATCATAGTATAATAAAATATAAATAAAATATATCATTTAATGTTAATTAATAAGTAAAGGGGTCAATCCATTATATTTTGACTGAAGTCGTCGCTGACTAATTTTTAAAAATTATAATACTTTGCAGGAATGATTTTGAAGTTATCAAGATCACGAAATGAAAAGAATTTTATTAAAATTTTAATTATTTATTGCAAAATATGAATTTAAAGTTTATGAGGTGCTGAAAACTGCCAATTTTTTAGCCATTAGAAAATATGCAAAAAAAAAACAGAATTTCCCATAAAAATAAAAAAAAATTGTTGTAATTTACTAAGAATGAATAAATTTATCATTATCAATTGATATAATTATTTAAATATGTGAAATAATATATAAAATATGATTTTCAAGTTCGCCTGTCAAATAACCTAAATTTGCAAATTTCATCTATTAAATGTGAGAAAGAGAAGTCATTAAATTGAAAAAAACCTTACCAAATATAAAGTACCTGTGACTAACTTTTAGTTTTTCTTAGCACTTTTTTCCTTTTTTCTTCATAAATGTGAAATAAAAAGCAATAAAAATTGGCACTTTGCTTATTTTCACTATTTTCAAATGTAAATAACTTTCTTGGAGAAAACTGAAAAATTACAAAACTTGGGCAATATCTAATTGATCACTAACTACACACACTGGAAAAAAATTCGCTTTGGTCCCGAAGATACTTTTTGAGATAATTAAGTTTAAACTTTTCACAATTTTTATCAGGTTAATACATGTAGTTTTTTAAGGACGAAGTTAGGTTTTATTGGTTAAACATTTTGAACTAACTTCAATTTTATAAAAATCACATGCATTAATCTGATAAAAATAGTGAAAAATATAAACATAATTATCTCAAAAAGTATCTTCGGGACCAAAGCGAATTTTTTTCCAGTGTGTGTTGTTAGTGATCAATTAGATATTGCCCAAGTTTTGTAATTTTTCAGTTTTCTCCAAGAAAGTTATTTACATTTGAAAATAGTGAAAATAAGCAAAGTGCCAATTTTTATTGCTTTTTATTTCACATTTATGAAGAAAAAAGGAAAAAAGTGCTAAGAAAAACTAAAAGTTAGTCACAGGTACTTTATATTTGGTAAGGTTTTTTTCAATTTAATGACTTCTCTTTCTCACATTTAATAGATGAAATTTGCAAATTTAGGTTATTTGACAGGCGAACTTGAAAATCATATTTTATATATTATTTCACATATTTAAATAATTACATCAATTGATACTGATAAATTTATTCATTCTTAGTAAATTACAAAAAAAATTTTTATTTTTATGGTAAATTCTACGTATTTTTGCATATTTTCTAATGGCTAAAAAATTGACAGTTTTCAGCACCTCATATACTTTAAATTCATATTTTGCAATAAATAATTAAAATTTTATTAAAATTCTTTTCATTTCGTGATCTTGATAACTTCAAAATCATTCCTGCAAAGTATTATAATTTTTAAAAATTAGTCAGCGACGACTTCATTCGAAATATAATGGATTGACCCAAAGAGAATTTTTTCACTTTTTTTATCAATATTTTTTTAATTGGTTTTTTTTAAAGAAGATTCCCTTATTATTTTATCTTTTATTCAGCTGAATTAAATTAATATTTACATAAAATTAAAAAATTAATTAATATTACTTATTGAATTTTAAATATAAAGTTAAGAATTTTTTATAATTATTTTTTACTTTATTAATTATTTTATAAAATGGGAAATTAATAAACATTCTAAAATTGTAATTTTTGCAATAAAGTATTATAGAATCTTTTTTTTTTTTTTTTTTACTCTGATCATTGATGCAACTCTACTTTCCATTCTTTCGGCAAAAATATTCCCTGAGGGGAATAAAAACTAGTCTTTGTTCTGGAAACGTTCTTGAAACTCAAAATGATCCCGTTACGATATTGATTTTTAGCTGCAGGAAAAATGATATACGAAATTTAAGGCTGAATTTTAAGGTTAGGAATCTTATGAATTGACAATGTCTAAGTACACTGTAAAAAATAATAAAAAGTTTGCATTTTGAAATAGTAAAATTACATTTTAGAATTTATGTAATTTTACTATTTTCAGTGAGATATTAATATACACTTTTTTTTAAATTTAGAAATACAATCAAACATGTAACTTTACAATTTTCGTAATTTGTTGCAAATTTTATATAAATTTGATTATTTGTATCACATATTTTTCATTTCAATGAAAAGTAATAATTTTATAATAGAAAAAAAAATTTCAATTAAAATATACTTAAAATAATTACTAAGAATATTCATTTTCAACAATTTTATTAGATATAATTATTTTTTAGACGAATTTTCATTTTTCGAATTAACATTTGTCGGAATTTCATTTTTAAAGAATTTTTAATTAACAAAAATTTTAGGCACCGAATTTTTATTTGTCCGAAATTGCAAATTACCGAACAAACAATCGACAGAAAGATTTCGGCGCGATTTTTAAACCAATCAAAAGTTATCAAGAAAATTGTGATTGGTGGATTTTAAAAATCACGACAAAATCTTTCTGTCGATTGTTTGTTCGGCCATTTGCAATAAGAATGCTACCAAATAAAAATTCTGTTAATTAAAAATTCTTTAAAAAAAAAAAATTCTGACAAATGTTAATTCGAAAAATGAAAATTCGTCTAAAAAATAATTATATCTATAATAAAATTGTTGATAATGAAAATTCTCACTAATAATTTTTATGTGATAATTATGTGCCTCAAAAAAAGTGTGAAAATCGATTTTTCGTTCGTAAACACACATTTCCCAGACGCGGTTACATAAAAAAAAAATGATAAATTTTATCCAAACTAATAATTTCAATTTTTTGTTACTGCATTATTAGATTTTAAGCATAAAATATATCTTTAAAAAAATAAGTTGTTCCGCATGGGTGTATTTTTTTTTTTTTTTTTATATATAGTTAAAAAGGGTTTTGTCTTTATTCAATATATAATATATTCAACAAAAGAAATAATATTTCATCGTCGTGAATTTTTTGTTCCAGGTTCTTGGATTTGAAAATACATATTTATGGCACAAAAGTAAAAATCCAGATCAAAGAAAAAGAGGGATTTCTCATTCGTTAAAAATATTAGACTCAACATCAAAAGTAAATATAATTGATTTTTATCGAATTAATATATTATATAAATATTTTCCTTTATACATCCTGTTTTTTTTCCTTTTCCTCTCTTATATATTGATTTTATTGTTATATATATATATATATTTTTTAAAATACAGATAGTGTGGGCAGAAGAACAAAAAGTTATTACCCGTCATAAGAGGGATTACATCGTGTTGGACGATATTGAATCAGAAAAGCCCTTGATAAGAGAAAAGCGACTGCCTTTTGCTTTCAATTCTGACTGCCATGGTCAGTGTTCGAGAGAAATTGATAAAAATAAAGGAAAACTTAATACTCTAACAATAGATGAATCAGAGAATGTGAAAATTTTCAACGATGAACTTTGGGATCAAGAATGGTATTTGGTAACGATTTTTATTTCAATCTTTAATGCGCGCTGTTATATGAAATTTAATTGAAAAATTGCAATTTTATAATAAATTTCAAAAATTAAATAAAAAAAAATTGGTAATTACCTAATTAATTAAATAAATTTGATTATGCTTTATTGAAATACAGGTAATTTTCTTTAAAAAAAAATAAATATGTAAATAATTGCCAAAATGGTCTGTCCTTCTGTCCTAACTTGAAGTTGGCCTTTTCTGATTTCACGTGTTTTTTTGAATAGTAATCTTATGACGTGTCAAATTTTGACAATTCTTTTTCTCATTTTTGCCAAAGTTGTATAATTGTGTTTCCAAATTTCGGAATAAGTTTCTTTCAAATTCCAAATTCGAAAATTCAATTCACGAAGCTGAAGTACACAACGTTTAACAACGAAATTTGTTTTAAAGTTGTATATTGATTCAAAAATTGTATACAAATACAAAAAATTTATGATGAGAAAAAAGATGCGCCAGGAAATTTCGTACAAGATAGTAATTTGAAAAAAATTTATTTTTAAGGTACCAGGGACCAACGAATACCTATTAAATATTAATTATAAAAACACAGGCCTCGAATCAACTTAAAGACACAAAAAGTCGTTTTAGTCGATTTATATTCCAAAAAAAAGTGGATTTGTTTTTTATTTTAACAAAACTATTTTACAGAATTTTAAATAAAAATTTTTTTTTAATAATAATCCTTTTCGAAGGGTTAAAGTTGAAATTTTTAGAAATAATTAAATTTCAAAAGATATATTGTTAATTTTCAAACAATTATTAAATTTTACAGAACTAAAAATAATTTATCAAACAATTTTTGGAAAACATTTTTTAAATTTAATTGAATTTTCAAAGATTTAAAATTGAGATTTTTGAAATTAATTGAAACTTTAAGTGTTTTATAATTAAAATTTTAGATGATTTCACTAAAAATTTATTAGAAAATGCGGACAAAATACAATAATTTGAAAATCATTTTTAATTGAAAAATGGTTTCAGATAGTTGAATTTTCAAAGAATATTATTAAAATAGTTAAAAATAATTAAATTTCCTTAGAGTTATAATTGAAATGATTAAATTTCAAAAAAAAATTTTCGATGGAAAATTTTAGAAATAATTAAATTTTAGATTCTTTTAAATTCAAATTATTGAAAATTCAATTAATTTTGAATTCAAATTTTTGAGAATAAAGAAATTTTATTTGATTTTAAATTTGGAAAATAATTGAATTTCAGTTCATTTTGAATTGAAAATTTTGGGAAATAATTGAATTTTAATTGAAATTTTTGATAATAATTTAATTAAAATTCATTTTTGATTGAAAATTTGGATAATTAATTTTGAATAGAAATTTTAGAAAATAATTGAATTTTATTTCATTTTAAATTGAAAATTTGGTAAATAATTAAATTTTAAATTAAAAATTTTGGATAATTATTGAATTTTAATTGATTTTGAATTAAAATTTCGGGTAATAATTGAATTTTAGTTTATTTTGAAAAGAAATTTTTAAAAAATAATTCAATTTTATTGTGATATATTTGTTTTTTTTAATTATAAACAATTGTTAAATTTCATAAAAATTTTAATTGAAAAATAATTTTGATATAATTGAATTTGTGATGTATTTCATTAAAATTATTAAAAATAATTAATTTAGTGAAGAATCATTTTAGTTCAAAATTTGTTAAATAATTGAATTGAAGAAGATACATTTTATACTAAAAAAATGTATTTTATTTACATTTTTTTCAAATGTAAAAAAAAATGTCGCATTTTATTAAAATAAGTCGATAAAAGTCGTATTTTTGAAAAAAGTCGGAAAAAGTCGTATAATCCAAAGCCTGTAAACATATAATTTTCATTATTATTATTTAATATCTAATAATATTCTAATAAATTAAATTATTATTGATAATATTAATCTTTAATTTCTTTATAACAAACAATTAAACAATCAATTTGGCGCGCTTGCGCGCGTTTAATTTTGCTAGTAAATAAATAATTGCCAAAATGTTTTGTCAAATATTCCATTGCAAAAAAATCACAGTATTGTAAAAATTTTCTTACATTTACTATAAAATTAAAAGAAAATTTTTTTTTTAATATTGTTACAAAATTAATTACACAATTAATTAATTAATTAAAAGTTACAAATTTTTCTGTAATAATACCAAACAATAACACTAAAAAAAAATATTTTTAATGCAAAATATAATGATAAGGAAAAAAATATTTTTTATGCAAAGTGTAATAATAAATTTTAATAATTTTGCACTGAGAAAAAAAATGTGAAAAAAATTTGACACATTTACGAAAAGAAATTGGACTTTTATTATTTGTTAATAATTTTTTTTTTTAAATTATCAACAACAGCTGTGGAAATTTTTGTTATCTTGTGATTTAGCAAGACACACGATCAAACAGAAACCTCCCTAAACTGGATTTGAATGTACTACCCTTATACCGACTGGGGATAACTGGTAGAGGCATAAGGGTTGCAGTTTTGGATGATGGCTTGGAATATACCCACGATGATCTTCGAAATAATTACGTAAGTTCACTTTGTTTTAAATAGTTGAAAAATTCTACCACAGATGTCCAGGAATGTTCTATTTTTCTTAATAACTTATTTTCCACTAAAAAAAAATAATAATATTGATTAATAATATAATAACAATTAATAATTAAAATATAATTAATTTTAATTTACTAACTAAATATTTAAAAAAAGTAGTAACAATATTAATAAATTAATCATTTTATTTATTATATCTAGAGATTTTAATTTTTTTTTCATTTTGAAGTATCTTTTTAAATCTTTGATATAAAATTTCTCAAAACGTCATTTGGATCAGATTTAAAATTTTTATTGTACAATTTTTTTTTTATTTAAACAAATAAGATGTAAAATAAGCCTAAAGATATAATATTTTTAGTTTATTATCGTAAATAATGTTTAAATAAACTAATTTTGAAGAAACATTTTTTAAAAATCATTGGTTTTATTTAAAACTTATTACGCGGCGGTTTTAATGGTCACTGATTACAAATCCGATGTCAATTTTTCAAAATTCAAAATGGCGGATCAAAAATGAAAAAACCGTTTGGATTTGATTAAAACTTGTTACCCAGGGGTTTTTGAAGTCACTAATTACAAATTTAATATTAGATTTGTGATCAGTGACACTGAAAAAACCTCCGAGTAACAAATTTTAAGCAAATCCAAACGATTTTTAAATTTTTTCGACCGCCATATTGGAATCGCCATTTTGAATTTTGAAAAACTGACATCGGATTCGTAATCAGCGACCATCATTATCCCAAAGAAACAAGTTTCAATCAAATACAAACAATTTTTTAATTCTTGACCGCCATGTTGAATCCACCATTTTGAATTTTGGAAAACTGAACTCATATTCGTTATTAGCGACTCTTAAAACTATATGAACAACTGTAGTTTTCTTTTTTTGAGTGTACAGTTTTCCTTGAGTGGAAACAAGTTAGATAAAAACAACTTTCACAGTACACTCAGAAAAACTATTTTTTTTTAAAATAAAGAAATCGTTTTTTAAAAATCACTTTTTCAACTAAAGATAAAATTTGTTTGAAGTAAAAAAACTTTTTGTTTGCTTTCACAAAAAAAAAAATTTAAAGTGTTTTGAAAGGAATTAAAATTTTTTTTTTTTATTTCCAAATTGGTTTTAATAGACAAATTAATATAAATCGATTGTATCTCCATAAAATAACTATATATAACTATCAATAATGAATTAATGAGACAATAAATATGTTTTAATTATTTAATAAACATATAATCCGTATTAAAATGACTAGATGGACTATATGAATAATTTATAAATAACACACGGATACTATATAAATAATTTAAATCCCCTCCCAGATGTTACAAATTCTCTATATTATTGTATCACGTTTGTCTGTGTTATAAACTTTATATCATATTAATGGTGCACAATATTATTTGTTTCAATATATGTAATAAAATAAACAAAATGAAATTATCCATTATTATATATATATAATATATGTATATTTGTAGTCTACATTATTATGTTTATGTGAAAAGTAAAATTATGTTTATACTAATATTCTTTAATTTTCTATAATATTAATATTACTTGACTATATTTGTGAAATTATTAACAGGATCCCGAAATCAGTTATGATGTTAATAACAGAGATAATGATCCAATACCTCGTTATGAAGCAACAGGCATGTAATTTTCATTAAAAATTAATAAATTAAATAATAATAATAAAATAAAAATTGATAACCGCATACAAAAATTGCTCTTTAAATTTGAATTAGTGAAAATTTCTAATAATATTTAGATATTTTTTAATAAAAAAAATATTTTTAATAAAAAAAATATTTTTAATAAAAAAAATATTTTTAATAATATTAAATATTTTTTAATAAAATTTAATAAGAAAATTTATTAGATCAAATAGTAATATTTTAATAAAAATTAGTGAAAATTTCTAATAATTTGAGTTATTAAAGGAATTCTCACTAATTCAAATTTAAAGAGTACATTATCCCGTGCAGAAATTCCTCTAAATTACCCTATTTTTTCAAGTTGTTAATTGTTAATAACATTTTTTTTACGAAAAGTAATTTAAAAAATTTAGTTTATTTACAATTTATTAAAAACGGAAAACTAGTTAGCCCCTGACTAAAGCCCCATTTTAAATAAGATAAAGTGGAGAAATTTCTGCACGAGATTTTTTTTACACTCATGAATTAATGTATAAAATTATTTTCTTTTTTAATTTTTATTTGATTAAATTTCATTAGATAGAATTTTCTTTTAGTCGAATTTTTATTTCGAATTATTTTTTGACAGAATTTTCATTAAACAGATTTTTCACTAAGAATTTGTACTTAACCAAGCATTAATTTAACAGAATTTCTATTTACAGAGTGTCCAACAATTAAAAAATCAAAAATTCAAAGTTTAAAATAATTTTTTTTCAGGTCCAATTTCGGTGTTGAGACTATGATTATTAATAATAAAAAATGAATTATTATTAAAAGTTTTATTTATTTTTTAAACTTGATTAAACAAATTAGTTTGCATTTAACAATTTAAAAATTGAAAAATTAAATGATATTCAAATTTTAAGAAATTCTAAAATAAAAGGAGAATTTGAAGGAAAAATTTAAAGCACGAGTAGTTTGAGAAAAACATTGAGAAAGAAAAAAAAAAGAAATTTGACAGAAGAAAATAGAAAATTCAAGCGAAACTTTGAAAGAAAAATAAGGAATTTTAGAAATTCACAAAATGAAAAGAGCATTTGTCACGAAAATTAAGAATTTTGGGCCAGTTTAATACTAAATAAGTAAAATTTAAGATTTACAAACAAATAATAATAATAAATATGGAGAAAAATTTTTTTTTGAATTTTTTTTAGAAAAATGAAAGCAAACTAAAAATTTATGAAAATAAAAAGTCTAAGAAATTGGAAGAAAAATAGATAATTTTAGGAATTCCAATTAACAAAAATTGAAGAATAATTTGAAAAAGAATAAAAAACATGAGAGTTTTATAAAAAAAAAAAAAAAAATGAAGAGAAATTAAATTTAAGGAAATATGTATAGTGTGGATTCGTTTAAACCTCATTACTCGGGGGTTTTCGTGGTCGGTAATACGAATCTGCAATCCATTTTCAAAAATTCAAAATGGCGGATCCAATATGGCGGACGAATTTTAAAAAAATTCATCGGATTCGTTTAAACCTCGTTAGTCGGGGGTTTTCGAGGTCGCTGATTACGAATCTGCAGTCCGTTTTCAAAAATTCAAAATGGTGGATCCAATATGTCATTTTACCCCTAAATTCTAAAACCACCCCTAAACTTTGAAACAAGAGTATATTTTGAGCCATTTACGCTATTTTATTTTATTTCTTCTTCTAACTGATCCCAATATTTTTGGTTTCCTCAAAAACAGCCATCCCGATTTTTGGGCTCTGCCCCTAAACTCAAAATCCACCCCTAAACTTTAAAAAAGTGTATATTTTGAGCCATTTACGATATTTTTTATTATTTCTTCTTCTAACTGATCCCAATATCTTTAAGCCCAAAAATGTTGGGATCAGTTAGAAGAAGAAATAAAATCAAATAGCGTAAATAGCTCAAAGTTTACACATGTTTTGAAGTTTAGGGGTGATTTTTGGGGTTTAGGGGTAGAGCCCAAAAATATTGGGATCAGTTAGAAGAAGAAACAAAAAAAAATATCGTAAATGGCTCAAAATGTACACTTGTTTTAAAGTTTAGGGGTGGATTTTGAGTTTAGGGGCAGAGCCCAAAAATCGGAATGGCTGGTTTTTGAGGAACCCAAAAATATTGGGATCAGTTAGAAGAAGAAATAAATTAAAATAGCGTAAATTGCTCAAAATATACTCTTGTTTCAAAGTTTAGGGGTGATTTTAGGGTTTAGGGGTAAAACGCCATATTGGATCCGCCATTTTGAATTTTTGAAAACAGACTTCAGATTCGTTATCAGCGACCTCGAACACCCCCGTATAACGAGTTTCAAGCGAATCCGATGAATTTATCAATTGGAAAACTTGGAAAATGTAAGTTGCTGATATTAAAAGGGTTGGTTTTTTATGAAGGGGTGAGTTTTATAAATCGGGATTTTTATTTTTGAAGAGCCCAAAAAAAGCCCAAAAATATAGAGTATTCGATTTTTTTAATTTTTAAGTTTTTACATAGTGAAGGTGCTAGCTTGACGTAAGTGGGCAGCTCCACAAAAAAATTAAATTTTTGGAAAAATTTAAAGAGCCCAAAATTTCTTAATGGGGCCCAAAAATAGCCCTAAAAAATCCCAAAAATCTAGTGTAGTCCGATTTCTAAATTTTAATTGTGGAGGTGCTGGTTTGATGGACCTAAATATCTGACTAGTTATTGTTAAAGTAAATAAATATATCAAATTTATGAATCGCAAAAAAAATTTAAATTTAAAGGAAAATTGCTTTAAAAACAAAAATTTTTAATGATAAAAAAAAGAAGATAAAAAATATTAGAAAAAAAGAAATTGAAAAAAAATATTGAAAAAATTTTCGAGTTCCAAAAAATTAGAATTAATGATTGGAAAATCGAGATCTGTGTTATGTTCCTTTTGTAAAAATAAATAAATGTTAGGAATTTTTAAAAAAGTTTTCTTAATGAATTTTATCGAATTTCTATTTGATAAAATTTTCATTTGTTCGAATTAACTTCCGTCAGAAATACTTTTGGACGCGAATTTTAAAATTAACCAATAAGAAATTCAGAAATTTTTCATTGATTAATTTTTAAATTCCCACCAAAATGTTTCTGCCAAATATTTATTAATAAAAGTTCTGTTAAATAAAAATTCGATCAAATAAAAATTCTGTAAAGTGAGTTTTCGGTTGTATAAAAATTCTCTGTAACATGAAAAATCAATTTAATGGAAATTCTGTTAAAAAAATAATTCGAAATAAAAATTCGGCTAAAAGAAAATTCTATATCTAATGAAATATTCTATCAAATAAAAATTCTAATAAATTAATTTTAGACATTATTCATGCGTCTCATTGTATTTTTTTTTAACAAATGATGAGAATTTAATTTTTTTCTAAATTTAGGATTAAATAGACATGGAACCAGGTGTGCTGGTGAAATTGCAATGGAAGCTGACAATAAAAAATGTGGTGTCGGAGTGTCTTTTGAAGCATCAATTGGTGGAATTAAAATGCTAGACGGAGTTGTTAACGACCGGGTCGAAGGTGAGGCTCTTGGTTATAAGCCAGAATTGGTCGATATTTATACAGCATCGTGGGGTCCAGCAGACGATGGGAAAAGTTTAGAAGCACCGGGCAGATTGGCCTCTGAAGCACTCGAAAGGGGAGTCAAACAGGTTAGTCACTTGTCCCCAATGACCTGTATCATCAGGTCATATAAAAACTATTTCAACCCCTTGATACTTTAATATACGCATGTACATACATTTTTTTTTATTTTTATTTGATAAAAAAAGTTTAGCAATTTTTATTTGAATTTACAACTTATATTGAAAATTTTAGGTGCTTCATTTATTTTTATTATTTCTCTGGACACAACAATGTTTTTTTTTTATTAAGAACATTTAATTATTTTTAATTTGCATAATTTATATATAAAATAACTTTGAAAACTGTAAATTGTTTTTATTACATATCTAAAAAAAATTACCAATTAAGATTTTTTTTTGGAATAAATTTCGTGGATCGCATAATCTTTAAAGATTTGATCATATACTAATTTAATTAAAATAATAGACTAAAAATTATATTGTAGAAGCTGAGAAGTCTATTAACCTTAATTTTTAATTGAATGAACATAGCGAAAAGGAAAACTAATTTTAAAGTGCAATTTAACGAATCAATAGTTCTCTCTAGATTTACTGATTATTATTATATATTAAAATTTTCTCAAGTGATCTAACAATAAAATTGTAAACAGTGGATTCTATGAAAAGTCGTGACTTTTATACAAAAAATTTAAAAAAAAAATTTTTTGGCCTTGGATTTTTTCTGCTCTTTCGAATAGTTTTGAAATGATATTTCGAATTTTTTTCAAAAAATTTAACTTCTTTTTTTAAAATCAAAAATATTTTTCAATTTTTTTTGAGAAAAGAACCTTCTTTTCTCTTAATTTAAGAGAAAAGAAATAAAAATGGTTCTTTCTTTAAAAAAAAAAGTCAAAAATATTTTTGATTTTCAAAAAAGGGGTTAAATTTTTAAGTTTTTGACAAAAATCTAAAACTACTTGGTGGTTGAAGTATTTACCCTTAGGACCAAACTATGTGCAAATTTTATCTAATGCAATTTTTCTGTACGTTTAAATATAATTTTCTTTATTCACTATATTGAGATGAGACACCAAGTTTAAATTCGTTTTTGGAAAGTTAAAGTATATAATTTATGCAAAGCTCAACTGGGATATCTAATAGTAACATATTGTGCACAATCCGAAGAGAGTATACGAAATATGTACAATACATATGTGTCGACAATGACCTCGAAACTTTTCTCACTCTGAAGAGTAAAAGCACACTCTCTTTACTTTTCTTAATGAAAGGCAAACATCATGCTTTTTTCTAAATTCAACTTGATTTCTAAAGGAAATGCAAGAAAGTGTATTCTCAAAAAGTCTGTTCTTTTGATGAAAAAAAAAAATAATTTATATATTTAGTTTTCTATAAATTATTGTCAAAAAGAATAATTTTTATCTAATGTACGAGATATTGTACACACGGAGAAAAAAGAATTGTTGTGATTATAAAAAATTAGGTCCACACAACAATTCCGGATTGTCCATATAGAACCAGCAATTATATTTGTTTTTGGGATCAAAAAAAATTGTTAAAATGCACGGAAAAAAATTAATCTCTAAATTAGAGATTTAATGTGAGATTTACACATAAACTATCTCTGGAATCGGACGTCGGATGTGAGCAGATTTCTAGAACTGAAATTTGGGGTTATATCTATAATCCGAATATTAAATATGAAAAACACATATTTCTTATGGCTAAAAATCATATTAGAAATCTCTAATTTTATGATATGGAACATATAGTTCTAAACTATCAACTTATTTGAATAAATTAAAATAATATATTATTAGAATAAACATTTAATTTTTTTCATATTTCTTAATAATAAAAAAACATGGTTCAGTACAACTTTTTATAGGTTAAGTTATCCGGTGTCAAAACATGATAATATAAATGTTTTACCTGCAAATACTCTGTTAAATTCTATCAAATTAAACAGTTTTTGACAAAATCGTCAACCATTGTGATAAATAAATTTATTAAACGTAAATAAAATATTTTCCACTTGATAACAAATACGTAAAGTGAAAACTGACTCAAACTGTGAAATACAATGTAATCCATATTAGAAGAGTTGTGAAATGAACAAATCTCTAAATTAGAGATGTGAATTTATGGCGTTTTTAGGTATAAAGTTTGACAAAATGAAACACAACTTATCACCGTAATTATGACTATAATGTCTACTTTAGACATACTTATATTTCACTGGATGTAAGATTAATGTTATTTCAAGTTCAGAGATTAATTTTTTTCCGTGTGGGATTGATATTAGGACTATTCGGATTGTTCGATGAACAAACAAAATTGTTTGATGAACAAAGAGAATTGTTATGGAACAGTTGAAATAACAAAACTAAATTGTTAAATCGGCAATACAATTTGTTGTATTAACAAAGCTTTGATCCGTCTAATACAATTTGTTAAGTTTCTTCGCCTTCTAAAATAATCGATAGCAGATTTCCGTAGGTCATATCACCAGTTTCATTTGCATTAAAATCTGTGGAACATGCAGCTTCTGAATTAAATTCTTTGACCTGAAACCAAAAAATTATTTTGAGTTGAAATTTGTTGTTAAATAATATTTAATATACATTTTTTATATTTTTTAAGGTGAGGTTAGTAACCGAGTATAACTTATCGATAAACGATGAAATTGTCTCTTCATCCATTCACTACACTTGCAATATATTTCTCACTTTAACCGGATTCATTATTTAACAGCACTTTGTCATTTAAAAAAAACTAATAATAAAAGTGCGATTCCAGGTGAGATTTTGACTTTTTCGGAGTAGGTTAACTGATTGCAATGAAACTTTGGAATTTTGTTATATATGGTAAGACTAATCTTTAACGTAAATTTCAGCTTAAAATATCTGTTAGTTTACGAGATTTACAATAATAACAAAAAAATTTAAACTGCTATATCTTCCATTCTAATAATTGGATTGAGGTCTACTTTTTTTAAAATGTCAAGGCAAATGAGAGGAATAAATCTCTTTCAAAACAATTTTTTATAATTTTACAACTAAAAAAATTATTAAATAATAATTGAATAAATTTCACGCGACAATCTAAAATTCAATCACTTAAACGCTAAAATGATCTTACCAGTGTTTTCTTTAATGTTCCAAAGGAATCCAATTGTAAATGCAAGTTTAACTTATTTAATTTTAATAATTTACGAGTATAAACAATTGCGATTTCTGCTAGTTGACGTGCAGACGACATTGCGCACGCAGCATTCTCCTGGAACCAGCTGACGTGATTCGTGGACTAAATTGGCTACGTGAGAATGCTGCGTGCGCAATCTGCACGCCAACTAGCAGAAATCGCAATTCTTTATACTCGTAAATTATTAAAATTAAATAAGTTAAACTTGCATTTACAATTGGATTCCTTTGGAACATTAAAGAAAACACAGGTAAGATTATTTTAGCGTTTAAGTGATTGAATTTTAGATTGCCGCGTGAAATTTATTCAATTATTATTTAATAATTTTTTTAGTTGTAAAATTATAAAAAAATTGTTCTAAAAGAGATTTATTCCTCTCATTTTCCTTGACATTTAAAAAAAAAGTAGACCTCAATCCGATTATTAGAACGGAAGATATAGCAGTTTAAATTTTTTTGTTATTATTGCAAATCTCGTAAACTAACAAATATTTTAAGCTGAAAGTGAATATCAGATAATAAAATTTTAAGGAAATTGAAAAATTTAAGAAATTAATTTTAGTAATTTTTAATTAATTCATGCGTTTAATTGTGTGTCTGAAAGAAAAAATATTAAATAAAATAGAAAAATAAATAGGTAGTTAATAAAAAAAAAAAAAAAATATAAACATTAATTGTAACATTGTCTTTAATAGTCATTAATCTTTCATTGCAATATTGCAGCAGTGTTTTATTAAAAGCTTATACAGTATAATATTTCACAGCAAGTTCGTAGCTCCTAGCTTATTAAAAATTCTCTCTGCTATTCATGTTTTAGATTAATAAAAATTGAATTTATCTTTTTCTTTAATTGCTTTTACAACGATAACAAGATTTTAAAAATTAACGCATTATGACAAATAAATTAATTTATGTTTTATTATTATATTTGTTGATAAATTATTTTCAGCAATTATTATTATAGTTATTTTTCTCCTGACTTATTATTTAATTTTATATAAAAAATGAAAGTAACAATATATATATATATAGGGGAGAGTGACAAACAGTGGGACAGTTTAAACAGTAGGACACTTTAATTTTCTGAAAAACTACTTAAAGAAACTCGACCAAAATTTAAATGTAAACCATGTTTATGAAAACACACTATCTCCAAAAATTTTAGCCACATTGATTCATTGTTTACAAAGAAAATTGAAAAAAACTGTTTTTGACGTACCAGAGTAAATTTTTTCTTAAAATACAATGCTGATTTTTATATAGATAGGACAGTTTTTAAAAAAAGTGTACTTGTTACTTCGTTTACTCATTTTTTCAAATATAATATTTAATAATTTAAAATATTTTAAAATTTAACAAACAATTTTTATTTAAATAATTTCTTGCGATTGCTTAATTTAAACAGTGGGACATTAAACACTGGGACAGGCAAAAATTTAAGTTTATGAAACGTGGATTTTGGTAACACTGATTATAAGTTGTGACAGCTATACGCATGCGCATTTATACTTACACAGCGACGAAAAATGTGATTTTTTTATGCTAAAAAACAATGAAAAAATTCAAAATTCATAATTAATAATTATTACAATTATTGTCCGACAACATTTAAAAAGTAACACTTGCTAAGAGAACGACTATTCAAATTTTCCTCCAAATTGTTTTTAGGTTATGACCAAATTATGACGTACGATCAGCAGTACCGTAAACGTGAAAAAAAATAATAGCAATTTTTTATATGAAACTTGACATCGTATTATAAAAATGTAAAATATTAATAAATTATGAGTGTTTTGCAACATTTTTTAACGTTATTTAATGCAAAAAATATATATTTACAAAGTATGAAGCAGAATATTATTATTGAAATAATTATTCGGTTCTTAATAATTGGTGTCCCACTGTTAAACACAAACCTTCCCTGGCGGATTCGATTTGCGTAATGTCTACTTAACTAAGCGGACTTTAGGTAGACATTAGGTAGACATGTAAAAAAACGTATAAAAAAGCTATTAATCGACTTATTATGATAAAAAAAAGTTGATAAAAGGGTAAATGAATGTTTATAGAGTAAATTCGTACAAAATTTGTAATTAATAAAGCAATAAATAATTAATAATGAATGGAAATGTGCGCGAGGTACCTGATCAGTTCAGCTGTACAATTATTTTCGTGCTATTTTCATGAAAAGAATATAAATTAACTGCAAAAACAATTGATATTTATAAAAAAGTGTAAAATTGATTTAATTTTATTGTTTGCAATACGAATTATTAAATAATAATTAAGTTTTTATCAAATGTGAATAGTGTTGTGAAAACTAATGAGTTACTACATTACCGATCGCATATGATAATAAAAAGTTCTCGATGAGTGTAACAAAAAAGCTGCAATCATGTCCGTAATTTTTGACGAGAAACAATTATGAAATCAATAATTATTTGTATAACTTTATTCTGCATTTTAAAATTCACTTTTTATTTTCTTTCAAAGCAAAAGCTTGGAAGAAAACATGCTCGCACTGTATTGTAAAAACTGGTGGCGCCATCTCTCATATGCGATCGGTAATGTAGTAACTCATTAGTTTTCACAGGTTTTCACAACACTATTCACATTTGATAAAAACTTAATTATTATTTAATAATTCGTATTGCAAATAATAAAATTAAATCAATTTTACACTTTTTTATAAATATCAATTGTTTTTGCAGTTAATTTATATTCTTTTCATGAAAATAGCACGAAAATAATTGTACAGCTGAACTGATCAGGTACCTCGCGCACATTTCCATTCATTATTAATTATTTATTGCTTTATTAATTACAAATTTTGTACGAATTTACTCTATAAACATTCATTTACCCTTTTATCAACTTTTTTTTATCATAATAAGTCGATTAATAGCTTTTCTATACGTTTTTTTACATGTCTACCTAAAGTCCGCTTAGTTAAGTAGACATTACGCAAATCGAATCCGCCAGGGTTCAAAACAAGAAAAATGTATCAAGTTTGAAAAACTTCAAATTTTTTTATTTAATCACAATATAATCTTAATAGAATAGAAAAAGAAAAGAGTAGAAAAGAGTTCAAACTTTATGGTAATACCAAAAAGTCTTCAAAAATATATAAAATTGACATATTAATATGTCTTTGAAAAAAAAGTGTCACACTGTTTGTCACTCTCCCCTATATATATATTGGAAAATTGGTCTGGGAAATAAAATAATAAAACTGAATAAAAAATATAATAACCATCAAAAGCCCCTTTCGTTCTATAAAAATACACTTTTACGAGTTTCTTTTTATGAGTTGATAAAAAATTGATTTGTCAGGGTCGAAAAGGAAAGGGTAGCATATATGTTTGGGCTTCAGGAAATGGAGGATCAAAATCTGACGATTGCGGTTGTGATGGTTATGTTGGTAGCATTTACACAGTGGCAGTTGGATCTGCCAGCCAAACTGGAAGATTTCCTTGGTATGGTGAACGATGTTCAGCAACCCTTGCAACAACTTATAGTAGTGGAGCTTATCACGATCAAATGATTGTAAGTTCTCTGCTATGTAAACATTTTTTTTTTTTATTATTTCTTTTATATAAATAAAAACAAAAATTGCTTATTTTTATTGAAAATAATCACTTTATTATAAATTTAAGGAAATTTTTTTTTATATTATTGATTATTATATTATTTATAGTTAGGTATTATTTTTATTTATTTTTAAATAATTTTCATTTTAATATTTAAAAAATTTTTTTTCTTTTTATAAAAATTTGCATTACAAAGTGATTAAATTTCAGGTAACAACAGATTTAAAAAATAAGTGCACAATAAAGCACACTGGAACATCTGCTTCTGCTCCATTAGCTGCAGGCATTTTAGCACTGGCTCTTCAAGCAAAGTATAATTTTTTCTTTAAAAGTATATAACATATGTATATAGATATTCATTTCAATATATTTTATAATAAATCAATTTATTGCCTATATAAATTACTCTCTAAATTTGAAGTAGGGTCAGTCGGGGTAAATCCGAACGGGGGGTAAATCCGAACGCTAATTATTTCAGCTTAATTAAAATTTTTAAAAATAAGTTCGATATGAGAATTTTTACCTCAGATCCTCTTGAAGAGATTCTAAGTATTATCCCATTTTTTGTTTGTTAATTAGCAACAGCATAAACAAAGATAACAAGTATTGCAAAAAAGATTGAAAATCAAAGATGACACTCTTACAGTATTTTGTCTCGTATTTGAAGAAAAAGAAGCTAAAAATTCATTTTATTATTTATAATTGTTTGTTATGAATACTAGAACAGAAACTATATTTGATTTTTGCCTTCTGTAAAATTTTATTAATAATATCAGACCGTTCGTATTTACCCAAGAAAATTGGAAAACTGGGGTAAATCCGAACGGTATTTTTAATAATTTTTTTTTACATCAAAGCCACACAAAATTGTTTTTATTTGATTACACTATTATTTTAACATTATAAAAGTACATAGAAAAAAGTTTTTCTTTCTATACGTATCCTCGTTAGTAATTAATAAGCAGAAACTTAATCTCTGTTCTCTCGAAGGAGTGTTTCAATTTTTTTGCCAAATGGTTTGTTGAAAAAAGTTTTTCAGGATCTTAATAAAATTTGGCATTTTAGGGTTTTTGGGGTCGCTGATTACCAATTTGAAGTCAGTTTTTCAAAATTCAAAATGGCGGACGAGAATTAAAAAATTCATTGGATTCGCTCGAAAATTGTTACTCAGGGGGTTTCAGGGTTAGCAAATTTGATCATTTTTAAAAATAAGTTTTAGGAAAGTACGCCATTTTGAATTTAAAAAATTTGACTTTTATTTTTGTATTTACATTCAATCACTCCAAAATACTTTCTGTACCAAGTTTTGCAAAAATCCGTTATGATTTGATAAAGTTATTGAAGGTTTTAATTGTGTAATGCATTTTAATTTTTAACCTGTTTGATTTTTGTATTTATATATGATGCATTATTACATAATAGGTTTATTATCGTATTTTTTTTGAGTTTTTATATAAGTTTAACAATTGCAATACTTTAAATTTATTTTCCCTAAGATTTTTCCGAAATACAGTGGCGTTCGTATTTACCCCCATATTTTAGGAAAGTTGCAAAGTATCGAGGTAAATACGAACGCTAAGTTTCCTGCGATTGTAATTTATCAAAAATTTTTTCTACCCCATAAAATTGTTCTATGGAAGTAAAGTAACAACTTCATGCACCAGAATACCGGAAGTATTTTTTTTTTAAAGAAAAAACTTATGTTATTGTTGAAACTTACTAAAAGCGTTCGGATTTACCCCAGTTGACCCTAGTTAAAATTATTAGTTATTAATTATTATTTTGAAATTATTAGTTAAATTCATTTTTAAGGGTTATTAGTCAAATTTGCTTCGCATGATTATCCCTTAAAAATCTTTAGTTAAAATTTTAATTTTATAGAATTTTATTAGATATAATTATTCTTTAGACAAACTAAAGACCAATCAGAAATCATCAAGAAAATATTCTGATTTGTCAATTTTAAAAATCGCATCGAAATATTTCTGTTGATTGTTTATTTGGCCATTTACAATTTCGGACAAATGAAGAATCTCTGAATTTTGAAATTCTGACATTTAAAATTATACAAATCACATAAAATTCGATTGAATAAAAATTCTGCTAAATTAAAATGCATTTAAGTACGTAAATTAGTTTTTTTTAACTAATTGAAATTTAGAGATGTTATGTATTATTGTTGTAGTTTTTGAAATATTTTTTTAATTAACGTCGATTTAGTTTTATCGCAGGTATATACTAGAGAAATGCTTAGAAACATTGATACAGAAGTTAGAGCGCATGTGATAACGAAGTTAGAAACAGGTTTCATCATAACTAACTTTATGAACCTCAATTTAATAGTTAATTCATTCAAAAATAAGTTGATGATACTTAACGCTAACTCAATAAACGAAATGCACTAATTAACAACTTCTTAAAAATAAAATTTACTAAAATAAATTTCGTAACCACAATAAATGTCTTTATAAATATCTTTTTTTACAAAAATTATTTTTATTACCTTTATAACACCGTCCGACAAAATTCAACTTTTTTTTTGACCTACAAAAAAATCCAACATTTTTGGAAACTAGGACCCCAAAAAAAATACCCGTGTCTGACCGTTTTGCAAGATCAAGTCATTTGTGGTTTTTAGGGGTGAAAACAGCCCCTAAATAAAAAGTGACAAGATAGCTTTTAAAAATTATTAATATTTTATGAAACTTGGTATCTGAGGGTTTTCGGGGTCGCTGATTATTAATTTGATGTCATATTTTCAAAATTCAAAATGGCAGATTCAATATGGCGGTCAAAATTTTAAAAAGTTATTAAATTTTTTTTAAACCTTGATATTTAGGGATTTTTTGGGTCGCTGATGACGAATCTGATGTTAAATTGTCAAAATTGAAAATGGCGGATATAAAATAAAAAATTAATAACTTTTTAAAAATTTGATCGACATATTGGATCCGCCATTTTGAAAATCTGACATCAGATTAATAATTAGTGACCCTGAAAACCCCCAGATACCAAGTTTTATAAAATATTAATAAATTTTAAAAGATATCTTCTCACTTTTCATTTAGGGGTTGTTTTCACCACTAAAAACCACAAACGACTTGATCTAGCAAAACGGCCAGATACGTGTATTTTTTTGGGTCCTAGTTTCCGAAAATGTTAAATTTTTTTGTGGATCAAAAATTGTGTCGGACGGATAAATTTGTAATAAATATTAAATACATTTTTTTATTAATTATAAACAAAATTGTGCACATAATTATTAATCATAATAGACAAATGTAATAATAATTCATTATTATTCATATTGCAAATAATAATTAATTAAACTTTTGTTACATTTGGTTTTTAAGTATTTATTATATTATTTAAATATTTGAAGTAAATGCACCAATTTTTTTTTCTTCACCTGGCAAAATATTAATTTTTGGTTCCGAACTTTAAAAAAAGATAACTCAATAAATAAAAATGTATAAAAGCAAATTTTATTTTATTATACGTTATTATTTATTATTATTATTTTATTTTTAATTCACAAAATATTGAGGAAAAATATTGCATTTATCAAAGCACAGTTAACTTAGAAATTAAATTCTTTTGTTCTATATTACTCAAATGTCAAAAGTTAAAAGCCAGGAAAAGCTTAAAAAGTGTGTTGCGCGTGATTCTTTTCAATTTTTAAATAGAGATCGGATAAAACATACTTATATGTATGTCAAGAAACAAATTTTGCTTTAAACAAATAAAATGTCTTTAAAAAGAAAATTGTTTCTAATTCAATATTATACTTTAATATAGGTTTTTAAGTGCAACTTAAACTTCTTAACAATCTAATTTTGTCGGGAACTTTACTCTTAAAATATTAAATGGATTGATTTGTAATTTTATGGATATATCTAAAATATGCTAAAGAATGACTGTTATGTGTGAAAATTGTGATATTTTATTTAATTATTTATTATAATATACTTTGAAATTTTTTTTTAGAAAATTTATGATTGTCAAAAAGAAAAAAAGAAAAGAAAAAAAAATTTAACTGAAAAATTATAAAATACTAAATACAATATATTTCTTTTTTAGTGAGGAATTAACATGGAGGGATGTTCAACATCTCATAGTGTACACATCGGAATACAGCCCCCTTAGGTAAAAAAGATTTAAATTTCATTTCACACTTTCGCCCTCGCGCAATTCCACGACCTCTATGCATACTGAGGCGCGGGTACCCTAAATTAAAGAGGCATGCCATTCTCATTCAGGTGTACTCGAAGAAAATCTAGGTCGCTGAATTTCAACGGAAAATCTTTAGCTACCGTGAAACTAACCATGAAAAAAACGTACAACTCACACAACGCCAAATGATCCTCTTCACTCCATCGTTATAATTACCATCAGCATCCTATTCAAAATATATATATTCACGTTCTTCGCAAACTTTCAATAAGTTTTAATTTAAAAAGGCGAATCATTTTCTGAATATATATATTTAATTCTAAATTTTAAAAACGAAATTTACCCCTTTTTAATTATACAAAAGAACAAAAAAAAAATTTGAAGTGAAGTCTAAATTAATATATGAATCCTTTTTCTCAAAATGCTTTTGAAATGAAATAACTTTGAAATTTTTATAACAATTTTTTTTCTAGTATCGTCTCGGTCTCGTTAAATATTAAAATTACGGATATCGTTCTCGGAAATTCTATATAGTCTCGGTCTCGCAGTCTCAATCCGTTTACTTGTCTTGACGCGAGTAACTTAGAGTTAAATTACAGAATATGATTCAGAAAATATATCAAGTTAAAAATAGAAATAAAATTATCAAAATTTTTTTTAATTAACTAACTACAAAAAAAAAAATGTTAGTTTTATTTCATTTTATTTGTGTTTTTTATTGCAATACAAAAAAATAAAATTCGTATCATATCAGGAATTGAAAATTTATTTAATGGAAGTATTTCCGTTCAATTCATTGAGGTTATGTTGTGTTGGGGAATCTGTTCGTTTTATTTTTCAATTATTTCTCGAACAATCAGATTCTTTTTCAGATTACTTCATGTTTTCGGGGTAGGGTTGCCAACTTCAAAGTTCTGATATTCAGGACAAGACTGTTTAAATTGCAGGAGAGGCACAAAAAATGCAGGACAAATATAAAATATTATTTTTTTAAAAATTTATTTAGTTGCTACACAAAATAGGATGAAAAATTGAGCTTATCAAGAACAGAGGTACATGAATGAACATTAAATAATTAGAATTTTCAAAACAATATTAAAAAGAATATTTTTCTCTCTACGATAATCTTAAATTATATAAATAGAATATATATTATTAAAAGCTATATAACATTTAATATAATACATATCAAAACGTAATTCACAGACTATTTTAAACAAAACAACAATATCTATGTAAATTGTAATAAATCACAAATTTTTATCACATTTTAAAAGAGTATTTTTTCCTGACTTAGAAGCTTGTAGTAACGCTCTATTCTTAAGAACCTTTCTTGTAGAATTCTCGACAATCTTCAGAATAATTAACTTTTAGTTGCAATTCTGCTTTTATGTGATCTACTGTTAAACGATTGCGAGTGTTTGTCCAAGAAGCAGAACACATTGAAAAAATTTGTTCAGCATCAGCATTTGAACCAAATATAGAAAAGACAAATTGGACAATTATAAGCAAATTTTTTAATACAGGATTAAATTTAAAAATAGATGTCCATTTTTCTATAGGAGATTTAACTTCAGATGAAGCCAGTAATCTTATTGATTTTCTAATTGAAGAAAATTCTTCGTACAACTGATCCATATCAATGCTATCTTTAATTCCCAAGTCAGTAACAATCTGCTCTATATCACGATAAGTTATTGCTTCCATTCAAAGAAAGAATTTTTAACTTTGAAAGTTGACTGTTCTCCGAAAAATGAAAATTTGATTCTAAATAGTTAAGAACATCACGATAAAATTTCATGCATGTTTGTACAATTATCCTTATGTTGTACGCTGGAAGACTCTTAAGAAGATTCGAGCACATAAAGCCCAAGAATTCATCCTCTATTCTTTGCTTTAATTTCATTCGCAAATTCTTTAAAATTTCAAAAACTTCAAAACAAAGAAGATTATTTTGTTCGAGTTTTTTTTCAGTTTCATAGATTAGATTTAGCACATTATGGAAAAAAGTTAAATAACATTCCGTGATTATGCTTTGAATTCCATCCACTTCTTCTGACAAGTAAAGCTTAATGCTTACTGGAAAAGCTTCTTCGTCTAGCGACAAGAAATAACTTTTTAGCGCTGGAAATATTTTCACTAATCTATCCACGGCTGGATATAGAGAAAGCCATCTTGTCGGAACATGACGAAGAATACCTTTATATTCCAAATCAACAAATTCAAAGAATTCCTTAAGTTCTTTAGTTCGCTTTGCTTGTGATGAAAAGTGACTATAAATTTTCAATACCAAATTCTCAAGATCGAATTTGCATTTCTCCAAACTGTTCCTTATACTATTATTTACCATATGAGCTGAACAACCGGATTTTATTACATTCGGATTTTCTTGACAAAGTAATGTGTAAACTGAATGATTATGACCAAAGTTTACATTTGCATTATCTGCCGAATAGCTAGAAATTTTTGAATGTCAAGTCCATACGCTGCGATTCTTGCTTTTAAATTATTAAAAATATCATTTGCTGATTCATTTGGATCTTCGTAAAAGTCTAGCAAGAAAAGTTTTATCCCCGCTGACGGTAAATAATAACGTAGGAGAATTGGAAATAATTTCGAACTACCGTGATTCGATGCATCGGTAGAAACACTAAAATATATTCCAGTTCTGAAGACAGCCAATGAAGATTTTAAAGATGCTGGTGCAAGGACATTAAATGCTATAGAACTTCCTTTGGTTCGGCCTAAATGCAAATTTTTTGCGATTTCAGAATCGTTATAAATAATCGATGCCAGGTCAGCAGAACAAGTTAACGAATTGTATGAGTGACTGTGGCAAACAGTATGATAAACATTAGTTAACTCGGCAGCAATCACTTTTTCATCTTTTAAAGTGAGTTTATCTTTGTCCGGAAAAAAGTTTCCATCAACTGGATTTGCTTAATATCACTAGATTTCTTGTTATGCTCAGCTCCTAATTCATGTTTTTTAACATCACTTTTGCCTCCGTATGCAACAAGAAAGCTTTTCCGACGTATTGTATAATATCCTTTAGATAAATTTGAAGAATCTAGTGTATTTTTGTCTTCAATTAACCAAGAAAATTCATTTTCCCATTGTTTGAGGTAGTTGCATAAGCGTTTTCGTTTTTTTTGTAGGTGTTACGCCATTTTCAGAGTCGGGACAGTCCATGATTTTCGATCTGTACTAATAAAATAATTTTAAGGTTTATAAAACTGTAATAAATAACTGTTTAGAACCATGTAACAATTAAGACATACTTTATCTTCTTTCGAAAATTTTTGTTTATGATACAAGTAGCGAAGTAAATAGTGTTTTTGTAAACAAATACTGAATCGAAAGAGATTATATAGTTTTATTTTGACACTCAGGATTGAGCAGTTCAGAATACTATTTGATGCGAATAAGGGTTGGGTACATAAAGTTTAGAATTTTGCATGTATAAACGTATTTGCGTGAATATAGATAACATTATGGTGAAATCACATGAATGCGTAAAACTTTGTATTGTTCATATAGCTGTATATTTGAATTAATTTTCAGAAATTGTAGATATGATTTCACTTTTATTTGCCAATGTATAAGTATATTCTGTATATTTTAAAATTTTTTCACAAAGATAATATCACTTCAACCAAAACTTAAAAATTCAGGACATTTAGCGTCCTGCGAAGGTTGGTTGCAGGACGCAGGACAAAGTACGTCAAATGCAGGACGGTTGGCAACCCTAGTAATATTTTGGTAGTAGTATGTACGTAATACTTGTAAAAAGTGTAATACTAAGGTAATAATGGTAATATGTGTAGTTGTAGACAAGTGTACACAATTTTTACAAGTAAATTCCCCCTCGTCGCTCTCGTTATTGAGCAGAAGCTCATTACACTAGCGTAGTAGAAAGCATGTTGTGTGTAAAGTGAGGTTTTTCATCCTTCAAAATTGTTTTTTATGATTTTTTACTGCAAAACAGATAATTAAAAACCATTCAATGTGATAACCAGAAATGTTTACGTTTCGTTCAATGACAACATAACCTCACTTTTCACAAAACATGCTTTCTACTACGCTAGTGTAATGAGCTTCTGCTCAATAACGAGAGCGACAACTTCTGAATGTCGCGCGCAGCAATAGCAGACGTTTTATAATAAATAAAATACAAAAAAGAAAATAAACATTGTTTAATAAATTGTGAGTTAACTATTTCGAATCACGTTATTTTTCTTGTGCGGTATTAAAGCTTAAAAAATAAGGAAAATTTTGATATTTAAACCAATTTATTTGGTGGTGCAGAAAAAAGGAAATATTTTTCATTATTTATTGTTGTATTTTTTAAATAAACAATTATTTTTACTTAAAAAGTGATTATTTTGGACCTTTATATTAATAAATATTATAAAAAAAATGTTTCATTTAATTTGAAAAGTTTACTCCGAAAAGTGATAAAAAAAACTCATAGAATGGCACTTGTATATTATAAAATTATAAATAATAATTGTAATAAAATAATTTAAAAGTTCTAAAACATTTCAATAGTATTTTTTTTTAATTTATAAAAAAAAAAAATTTTCTATAGTATTCAAGCGTTTAATGACGTCATACTGTAGCATATATATATATATATATATATATATATATATATATATATATGTATAAAGTTCGTGAACGATCTTCAATGGCTTGAATAATTGAACAACATTCTTCAATTAGAAATAATTTTTGTTTCTATCACTTTTTCAGAGATAATTTAGGATGGTTTAAAAATTCTGCTGGATTCTGGTACAACCCACGTTTCGGGTTTGGATTAATGAACGCTTACTCTCTAGTGGTTGCCAGTTATAATTGGACAACAGTTCCGAACAAGAATATTTATAAAATTCAAGCGGATTCTGGGTAAGATGATTGTGCTTATATATATGTAAAATATTTGCAATCTCCCGATAAATAATTCAATAAGCTTTTTTTCAGAAATTAGAACTTTATTAATTCTACGAATTTGCCTATTTAAATTTTTAATCCATTTTTCCATGTCATAAATGAGAAAGGAAAAATTCTCTTGAAAATCAGAAATATCTGATGTCAAAAACACAATATAATAATTTATTATTTTAAGAAAAATAGACGAGAATATATTTTTGATTTGGAAAGATTGATATCTAATAATTATTAAAAAAAATTAATAAATTATAATTTATTATAAAAAAATAATAATTTTTTTATCTCTATTTTAACTTATTCGTGTATAACTTTATATACGTGAACATCTGAAATTTATATAGTAAATGTTATTAGTATTCTTCATATAAATATATGAAACATCTCATAGACGTTTAACGTGACTCGTTAAATTTAATGAGATGTCAAGTATACTTATTACTTTATACACGTATACATATTGCCAATGCAATAAGAGTTGAAAATGGAATAATATATATCTTGAAAGCATTTAAATCTCAATTCCTATTTGATAGGAAAATTATCTGATTTGCAAATACAATATCAATATTAAAGCGATTTTTTAATTTTTTTAATAAATACTGTGTGTAAACAAATTTCAAGGATTGGAATAGTAAACCAAAAAAAAACAAGTTGTAAATTCACGTAGCTGAAGTATGCAACGTTTATATAAATGATTTTTAAAGAAATAATTTTTTAAAATGAAAAATTCTATAATTTTTTGCTGTAATGAAAGTTTAAAAATTATCGATCGAATATCGTGTAAATTATCTAAAGTCGATAATTTACATTACCGACGGATCGAATACGCCATGTAGTACACGTTCGCGATCACGTGAGTCCCGAGATTCTCGGTAGTGGGGAAGGCGAGCGAGCGCACAAGCCCAACGCGCCAGCCAATCACGGATCACTGGCTCCGGCGTAAAAGCAGAGCGCGCGGCCCAAGTTCTTCACTTCTTCCTTCATTGCGAAAGCGGTCTCACCGCTAAAAGAAAGTGGTCTATACCACGTAGCATTTTTTGAATGCGGTTTCACCGCAGATTAGATTTTTGACACAATGGTTTCACCATTAGTTAACGTACTTTTCGAAAACGGTTTTACCGTATTTAACGTGTAAAATTCTTTTAACAGTGGTTTCACCACTATCGTAGATCCTTCCCTTTGAATGGTTTTTAACCATAATTAATGAAGTCATTTTTTGAAGGCGGTTTTACCGCTATTAAAATCGTTATCTCTTTTTTGATGGTCATTACCATACGTAAAGTCCGAAAATAGTTTGGCTTAGAGATGCGACGTTCTCTGGCGCGGACTAATCGGTAGTTTTCGAGAAACTACTCCGTCGTACATCGTTTATTTCATTTGTTAATCGCGTTCATAATTATTACGTTATTTTCCGCATTAATCGTTTGTAAATAGTAAATTTCTTGTTTTGTTAATAAATACGTTAAATCTGTAATTTGTAATGTTAAATTTATTTAAAACGAACCCTGGCACGACGAGCTGTAAAAATATTCTAATAACAATCATTACATTGCCTAAACAATATTTCTTGTAGTTTTCATTAATCAACAAATTATAAAAAAATATTTTTTAAGCAAAAAATTATTTCTTTAAAAATCGTTTATATAAGCGTTGCGTACTTCAGCTTCGTGTAAATTCAGATGTTCATTACATGAACATTTTACTTCCTCTTTAAGATCAGCAAAAAAATTTGCTTCCTCGTGGATTTCAATTTCAATTTGCAGGAATTATTATTTGTTCGAATTTTTATTAAACAAAATAGGCACTCTTTTCATTTGTTAAAAGTATGTTGTTAAAAATTATAAGCAATAGAAATTTTATTTATCAAATAAATAATAATAATTTTTTATCGAAATAATATTTTATTTTTTATATATGTATATAAATAAGAGGTTCTAAAAAATTTTTAATACTGCAATATTCATAAAATGGTTTTAATAAAGCAACATTCTGTCACTATGGAAAAATTTACATTTTCATCTTTTGCATAATTAAAAACATAAGATATATACATCTTTAATAAAAATATAGTCTGTAGTAAAAAAAAGAAAGAAATTTTCATTATTAATGTTTTAATTTTCCATCATTTTTTTATCGATTTTATTAATTAATTAAAATAATCACTAAATTATAAAAACATAAATTTAATTTATAAATTATTTAATTGAAACTTGTGGAAGCGAATTATTATATAATAGCTATAGAATAAAAGTTAAAAATTATTTTTTTAAATAAATAATGTATATATTTAATTAGTTTTTAAAGGCATTTAAATAATGACATTATAGATTACTCTACAGGAAAGTCATATCCAATAATCGATAACCGCACCTGGGAGATGATAACCCTTTGAGAGAAAGGTCAGCTCATTAGACGCTTGTTAAAGTACCTTCTGAACATTAAAGGATCTCCTTTTTTTAATAGAAAATATTTTTCCTCACTCGGAAATTTAGGAAAAAAAAATTTATTTTCCCTTATACTTTAGATATTTTTTCTTTATTCCTGGTGTCATGTATATGTATATGTATATGATTTGCAGTACATGTATGCATCTTTTATAAGAGAAAAATCTTATATTTGCCATTCGTTTCTTGAAAAATATTTTATATACATATATATATATGCAACACTTTTGAATTTATTCTAGATACAACTCAACTCTGAGTTACGGGAGCTCGAGAATTTTGAAATTTCACATGAATGAAGGTGTTAGCTCTGAGGAAGACATAGATTTCTTAGAACACGTTCAAGTTGAAACGAATATGAAATATAGCATTCGTGGCTCTCTTCAAATGCATTTGACAGCACCTTCAGGTATATCTGATTTCAAGCAATTTCCTCCGCACACTATCAATATATATATACATTTATGTTGCATACTATGAAATGTTGCATTTCTCAAACTTAAAAAAAAAGAAAACACAAAAATCATAAATTTTACCTCCATTTTTTATTCATAGAAATTTTACTCTATAAACTAAATAAATTATGAAAACAAAAAATTTATTTTAAGGAAGAATCGAAACAAAACGGATAACGGTTTAAGTGACATAACCTACAAATAATGTTTTTAGGTTATGTTACCTAAAATCGTTTCTTATATTCATAAAAACTTTCAATTTTGATTTAACCATATAGACAACACAACATAGCTGGTTCATACGTAGAAGCACATCTGGGGTAGAAAACCACATTTAAATAGTTTTGTTGATAGAATGTTCATATTTAACGCAAAATAACTTCATTATAAATATTATAATTTTCTGCCTTTTTTTATAAGGAAGAAGATAGAGTTTTTTGAGATTTTTGATAGGATCAAAAATATGGCTAAAACATTACAAAAATCACAAAATCTGCAAAAAATACCGAAATTTGAATTTTTCTGGGGTAGTTTACTATCCCAGATGTGATTTCTAGGATTAAATGCAATTTCTAATTTTAAAAATTTTTTAAATAAAATTTTAATTAAAAGTTTAAAATTTTCAAAATTAAATTATTTGAAAATTTTACTTAAGCTTTTTTAAAAGTTAAATCATCATTTTCATTAAAAATACAAAAATACACAGTTATGGACTAACTTTTGTTCTGATTCCCAGATAGCACGTAAGATTGCAGAAACCTTGCGGCAAACGTGCCGCGCAATATTGCCAACCTTGCAACAAGCTTGCCGCAAGCTTCAAATGTCCCACCTGATCCAAGCTTGCATTGTAATCTTACCGAAAGATTGCAGTGTAAAGTTACTGCAAGATTGCTCAGTCAGCTTGTACGGTAAGCTTGCAGCAAGGTTGGTGCAAGATTGCCAAATAATCTTGTTTTAAACATAAAATTTTTTTTTAAAAATGTTTCGTTTAATTTATATAATAAAATTATACAAATTAGACGAAACATTACAAAAAAAATTTTTTTAGGTTTAAAGTAAGGTTATTTGTCAACCTTGCACCAACCTTGCTGCAAGCTTACCGTACAAGCTGACTGAGCAATCTTGCGATTATCTTATTGTGCAATCTTGCAGTAACTTTACACTGCAATCTTTTGGTAAGATTACAATGCAAGCTTGGATCAGGTGGGACATTTGAAGCTTGCGGCAAGCTTGTTGCAAGGTTGGCAATATTGCACGGAGAAAAATGGAAAAACGAATAAAGTAACTTTTACTACTTTAAAAGTAAAATTGGACCTGTCCGAAGTTTCTGCGCATCTCTGGCAACTTTTACTCGAAAAATAGTAAAATTGACTATTTCTGTAGTAAATTTTACTGTTTCCGTAGTAATTTTTACTATTTCTGAAGTAAATTTTACTATTTTTGGAGTAAAAGTTGCCAGAGATGCGCAGAAACTTCGGACAGGTCCAATTTTACTTTTAAAATAGTAAAAGTTACTTTTTCTTTTTTTCCGTGTGCGCGGCACGTTTGCCGCAAGGTTGCTGCAATCTTACGTGCTATCTGGGAATCAGAACAAAAGTTAGTCCATAACTGTGTATTTTTGTATTTTTAAAGAAAATAATGATTTAACTTTTAAAAAAGCTTAAGTAAAATTTTCAAATAAATTAATTTTGAAAATTTTAAACTTTTAATTAAAACTTTATTACTATACAAGCTTGGGTCAGGTGGGACATTTGAAGCTTCTTGCAAGGTTGCTGCAACCTTACGTGCTATCTGGGTTCTTTGTCTGATTCTTCCTTAAATGTGAAAATAATTCTACTTTGCAAGTAGGGTAACGGCACCAGTGAAAGAACATTTAAGGAAATGCATACTTTTATCATTTATTATTTTTGAATGCAGTTATTGAAAATTTTTTTACCAATTTTTTTTCGATAGCTAATTAAGTGTAGAATGCGAAGGTCATATTTAATTTTCATAAATATAAGATGTTAATTAATTATTAATAAGTAAAACATACCTATTTCACCAGTGAAAGAACAAATTGTCTAATGAAAGAATTTTCTGCATGCAGTGAAAGAACAATGTGAAATATATATTTAAAATATATTTAAAAAATATATTAAAACAAAGATAAAGTAATAAAATGTTTGTAATATACTAAAATAAAGGTAAATTAATGATAATTATAAATATTTTTTAACTAAGTTTGCAGAATCTTATTTTTAATTGAAAATGCATTTATAACCTACAATCAATCATCTACTTGCAATTTATTTTGACAATATTATTGTAACCTAACAGTGTTAACCTATTTGATTTTGTCATTTTTTTGTTTGACTTCAGACTATTCGTTGAAGGTGTTCCTTCATTGGATTGCATTGGAACCAGTGAAAAAACATTTCTGTTCTTTCACTAGTAAATAAAAAAAAATAACCCCAATGACGGAATTTGCTTTTCTTATGGCAAATTAATATTATATTAGCTTTTAAATGAAAAGAAGTATTTCTAATACACAAGATAAATTTAGTTTAAAGAAGACCGACGATTTAAGGCAGTTTAAATTAGTTAAATGTGAAAAAAGAAATAACGTGTCAGAGAAGAGTTCTTATTGTTGAAGATAAATTTGCAACACAACATTTTAAAAAATTTTTTTTTATAAAATTTACGTGTTAACTCTCTAGGTATCTTAGATACTAAAGACGTAAATTAAATAAGGAACATAAAAATATATAATTTATAATACCAAATTGCTTATTACACTAATTAGAATGCAAAACATGAAATTTGTTCTTTCACTGGTGTCAGTTCCTTCACTGGTGCCGTTACCCTATATAGAAGATAATTTAGAAAAAAAGGAGAAAAAAAATTTTAAATGATAATGAATTATTATTTTTAAAATCATCATTATTATTATTAGTATTAGTATTATTATTATTATTAATATTAAGCTCTTTGGCAAAGTCAGAATCACCCTCAATAAATGATCAAATATACTAAAAATAGAATTTAAATGAAATGTTATAAATTGAAAAACGCAACAGTGATTTCCAGTGGGAAATAATAAAATATTTCTATCTGTATGTCTGTCTGTCTGTCTGCCTGTCTGTTTGACAAAATCATTCAAGCAATATAGGGAAATTTCAATAACGTTTCATTTTTTATTGAAAATTCCATTTGATTGAAATACTTGAAATTATGTCACAAAAAGCTGCAATGGAATATAAATGAAAAATACATTGTTAGATAAACAGAAAAAAAATATATTTATGTTCGTTTGAAAATTAAATTTTATATATGTTTTAGATTATAATATTTTACATTATACATGACATTTTTCTCATTAAAAAAAAATGTCCGTTATAAAATATTTTTCATTCTCTTGTTTCTGTAATTTGTAATTATGAATGTCATAAAATTTTATTATCACGCATAGTTTGCAATTAATAACAAAAAAACATGCATTTTTATTTTTTGCGATAACAATTTTTTTTTACAAATATCTTTTAAAATTGATACATATATAGTTTTTCAGCTGTTAAAATTTATTTTTAATAATTTACAATTTTTTTAAACTGTCTTTGAAAATTTTGAGTTTCAAGATAAACTTTATTTATGTGCTTTGTAGGATTCTTTTTTAAGATAAAAAAGGAATTAAATATACCTCACTGAAAAAAAAGTCTGGTTAAAATAACCAGAATTCTGGTTAATCTAACCAGAATAAAAAGTTATATATACCCTTACTACTTTTTCTGGTTAAAAGTACTAGAAAATTTGGTTAAAAAATTCTGGTTAATTTTACCAGAATTTCAAGTTAATCTTACTAGAATTTCAAGTTAATCTTACTAGAATTTTTCTAGTTAAAAATTTTTGGTAAAAAAATTTCTGGTTGATCTTACCAGAAATTCTAGTTAATCAGAGAATTGATTAAATTTATTATTATTATATTATATTATAAAATATTATAAAATATGAATTAAAAAAATTTGTATTATGTACATATAAATGCAATCAAACAATAACACCTTTACACTGCAATTCTCTTAATAATGTTTATTTAAATATGATTATTCAGAACTAAAATTCTGATAAAACGTGTCGAGCACGTTTTCAACATAACCTTCAAACTATTTTCCACACGAACGGGTTTGCCGTTCGTCAACAATTTTTTCACTTATATTATAAAATTAATTAACCAACCTTTAAACAGATCTTTTAATTCTCCCAAACCCCAATTTTCCAGAGCTTGGTTAACTTTTTCATCCATTCTTGCGATCCGCACGATAAACTATTCGAAAAAGAACAACAGACGCTATGCAGTGTCCGCGAACGCGCGTTTTTAACCAGAATTATTTTAACCAGAATAATTTAACCATACTTATTTAACTAGAACTGTTTAGTCTTTTTAACTATATTTTCTTGTTAAAATAACTAGAAATTTTTTAACCAAACGCATCTAGTAACTTTAACCAGAACTTTTTTTTCAGTGCTCAAAAAAAAATGTTTGGTACTTAAAAAAATCTTGAAATTTTTTCAAACATAGCTCGCAGAGCAATTCTTACATTTAATTTTATAAACACAGTTTGTTTTTCGGCTTTTATTTGTAATGTCTTTGCCTTTCTTTACGTAATTATTATTATTCTGATTCATCTTTGGAATTGTTAAATTTGATGTTTTGTAAAAAATCTCTTCTGAATGTGGTAAAACAATCTTTTTAGCTCTACAATAATATGTTTTTTTATTAGGACGTCGTTGATTTTGATTTATAATATGAACACGTTTTTTTATATGTTTTTCAATAAAATTCGAAGGATAACCATTATGCAACAATAATTCTGTATGAGATTGAAAATAATAATTCTATTATTTGTAGAGTAAGGATTTTCCCTTCCGGAATGTTTAATAAAAAGTTGAGAAAAATTCGATCCTTGGAAGGAATGAAATAACATAAAAGTTATACAATAAACAATATTAATAACATACAACTTTTATGTTATTTCATTCCTTCCAAGGATCGAATTTTTCTCAACTTTTTATTAATAATTCTATTAGTTTCCTTGATGTATTAGTTACACGGAGAAACTTTGAGTATTACTTTTTCTTAAACTCACTATGTATTTTTAGTAAATAATTGACTACTAAAGTGGGGAAAAACTGCAACGATATCAATTTTTCTTAGTCTGACTACTAAAATTTGGTATTTGATCGAAAATTAAATTTCACGAAAAAACATATCGTTGAATGTCAATTCAAGCAGTCACCCATCCAAGTACTAACCGCGTCCAACGTTGCTTAACTTCCGTGATCTGATGAGAACTTGTTCCTTCGCCTTGGTGTTTCCGCTGTCTTGTCTTGATTAATAACTTTGTCGTATAAGTATTGTATCGCACCTAACCTCACTTTTAGTGACACGAAGTAACACAAATATTTTTCAACTTTACAAAAAAAGAAAAAACAAAAATAGTGTTCATTTGAAACCGATTCTCATTAATTAAAAGAATTATATGCTTGGATAAGAGATGTACATGACATGATATATTTTTTTTGGGGGGTTTCATAGACAAGGTCACATGTGCTCAGGAGAGTACTGTATGTTTTAAGCGCCCCTAACTTCATAAAAACAGTATTTTCGATGTATAATCTAACCGGATTGTGAAATTTTAAACACAGAAAAAGAAAAATAACCTAAAGTAAAGCCTCATTAATATTATTTATGATTCAATTAAAAGTTAATTAATAATTGTTGCGATTAAGTCGGGGCTTCATCTAACCCTTTTTAGTTACGACACTGTCCACGTCGAATTTTTCTTAATTTGACTACTAAATATTGAAAAAAAGAAGTCATATATTGTTAAAGAGACTTCTATTAAATAAGAAATTTCGTATTTTTCCCGTTTTTTCCCCACTTTAGTAGTCAATTTACTAAAAATACATATGAGTTTAACAAAAAGTTATACACAAAGTTTCTCCGTGTATAAAACAGAACAATATTTTAATTACTGACTGGTTTACAAAACCTACTTTTTCTGGACGATTTTTAAATTTTTATTCTCAACATCCAATTTCTCAAAAAATTGCTATTGTTTATAATTTGATAGACAGAGCAATTAAGTTTTTAAATGTTAAATTTCATCAGAAAAATATTGATATTGTTACAGAATTATTGTTGCATAAAATGGTTATTCTTCGAATTTTATTGAAAAACATATAAAAAAACGTGTTCATATTATAAATCAAAATCAACGACGTCCTAATAAAGAAACATATTATTGTAGAGCTAAAAAGATTGTTTTACCATATTCAGAAGAGATTTTTTACAAAACATCTTTACTATACGAATTCAACACTTTAACAATTCCAAAGATGAATCAGAATAATAATTACGTAAAGAAAGGCAAAGACATTACAAATAAAAACCGAAAAACAAACTGTGCTTATAAAATTAAATGTAAGGATTGCTCTGCGAGCTATGTGGGTGAATCAAAGAGAATGCTTGGTGTGAGAATTAATGAACATAAAAAATCAAAAACAAAAGAATATTTTTTTTATTTAAGTTTAGTGAAAATTTTTTCATTAATAATTTAAATTAGTCATCAAAAACATGTTAGTGACACTGAAACAAAGAAGAAAAGTTTATTTATATATTTATATAATATATATTATATATTATTATTTTTTTATTATTATTTTATATATATATATATATATAATAATTAAAAAGTATCGTAAATAAAATAATGGAATAAAATGTTAATTGATTTAATTGTACAGGTACAAAGGTAGAAATCCTGAATCCAAGAGCACTAGACAAATCATCTGATGGTTTCACAAAGTGGAAATTCATGTCGGTAGCAACTTGGGGTGAAAACCCCCATGGGGTTTGGCTTCTTGAAATATTGGATGTGGTAAACACAAAAAAGTTATATAAATTTTATTCACCCTTAATTATAAATAACAGCAAAAGTCCAAATAATATAAATTAAAAAGTGACCCTAGCAAAGAATGATAACAATCATTATTATTCTTTAAGATATTTGAATTAAACATATATAAATCCGTCTGCAGTAATTTTTTTTATACAGTAAAAATGACTGACTGTGAATCACAACAATAGAGATAACAATGAGTTCTTTTGTGTTGTGATTCATATAGTCAAGCAATCTTACTCTATATGAAAACGAAATTTTATTTATTTTTTCTTTTTATTCAGAGTGGTCCAGCGACAAATAATGGAACTTTAGAAGATTTTACACTAATTCTCCATGGAACGAAAGAGATTCCCCAATATCGTAAAAGTGGTCCTCGATTTTATAATGACGAATATAATCGTTCACGAAAAATGGTAAGAGAAAAAGAAAATAATTTTTATAAATGAAATTAATTTAATTATAGATATAACGAAATACATTAATAGAAAAAATAATGTTTCTTTATAGAATGATTTTGATTATAAGAAAGAAACATCCATCAATGAAATGAATAAAAATTCAGAAAAATCTTTCTCTCGACAAGTGGAAAAACGTAAAAAATATTCAGAACGAGATTGGATCATTCATCTTCTATTCGAACAATACGGAAATTAATGTATACCTACATTATCAGGGTAGCCACAAGTTAGAGAAACGTATAGAAAATTATTATTATTTTTTTTCTTTTTAGGGAATTTTGCGTGTAAAATTTTTTAACAATTTTTGTCTCTACAACTCTCAAAATTTGAATTAGTAAAAAATGTTTATTAATTTAAATTAGTAACTCACTTTTTACTTTAGAATTAGTAAAATTTTACTAATTTTTAGTAAAAGTTACTAATGATTAGTAAAATTTTACTAATTCAGAAGCAAAAAGTGAGTCACTAATTCAAATTAGTAAACATTTTTACTAATTCAGATTTAGAGAGAAGGGATTATTATAGATTATCACCTATTCACTTTTTTTCACCTATTTCACCTATTTTTCAAGTTATCCAAATTTGAATCTGTTTTAATTTTAATTCATATAAATTTCAATTTAATTTTATTGTATTGAAATTTAAATCGATTTAAATTACACTTTAATTTAAATTTTAATTTCAAGTGATCCAACTTTCAATTAATTCTAATTCTAATTATTGTTTCAAACAAATTTATTAATTAACATTTTTAAAAAATTCAAATTCAATCGATCGAAACTTAAAATTAACGAAATTTCAGTCCAGCTTAAAATTAATGGACTTTTAAGTCATTTAAAATTTAAATTATTATCCGAATTTCAGTTTGTCCAAATTTAAATTTATAACTCAAATTATTCCAATTTCAATTTGTCCAAATTTTAATTGATTTAAGTTTCAATTTGTCCAAATTTTAATGAATTTAAGATTCAAATTATTAAAAAATTCAAAATGGTGGACCCAAAATCGCGTCCAAAAATTTTTAAATTGACTAGATTTGCATAAAAATGGTTCTTATAGGGTTTTTCGTGTTGCTAAATCCAAATTTGAGGTCAGACTTAAAAAATTCAAAATGGCGGATCCAATATGTCGGAAAAATTTAAAATTGATTCGATTTGTTCAAAATTCGGTACTTGGGGGTTTTTTTGGGTCGCTGAATCTAAATTTGACTTCAAATTTGGATTCAGCGACCCCGAAAACCCCCGAGTACTAAATTTTGAACGAATTGAATCAACTTTAAATTTTTCCGCCACCATGGGTCCGCCATTTTGAATTTTTTAAGTCTGACCTCAAATTTGGATTTAGCAACACGAAAAACCCTATAAGAACCATTTTTATGCAAATCTAGTCAATTTAAAAATTTTTGGACGCGATTTTGGGTCCACCATTTTGAATTTTTTAAATCTGATCTCAAATTCGGATTCAGCGACCCCGAAAACTTTAATATATTTATTGACACTCAAATCGAATTACGTTTAGTATTTTTTTTATAATGTGGTTTAAGTTTCAAATTATCCAAATTTAAATTGATTTATGTCTTAAATTATCCAAATTTCAATTTGTCCAATTTTTAATGGATTTATGTTTCAAAATATCCGAATTTTAATTAATTTAAGTTTTAAATTATGTCCAAATTTTAATTTAATTTAAGTTTAAAATTATCTGAATTTTAATTTATCCAAAATTCAATTTACCCGAATTTTAAAACTATATTAATGCTTCAATCGTTGATTAAAATTTTGAATTCACCTTTTCGACTATTAAAAATTCACTAAATTTAATTTAAAAAAAAATTTGTCAAGAAAATTTTATTAATGTCAGGAAAATAGAAAATGTTATTCTTGTGACAACCCTGATTATATTAAAATATATATATTGTAAGACTAAAATGACGTAATAAATATTTTTTACAAATTTTAGTTTATATAATTAAATTGTCCCGTTAAAGCCCTTTTGGGGAATGAGAGTAACACAATGGACGAACAATTATATCGGTTGATATTTGCCTGAGTGGAACAGAATTCTATATGCATATCGATTTAATGATGAACACTAGTTGAATTCTGAATTCCCTGTTAGTCAATATAAGCCTTCGTACATATATATGTATTTATATATATATGCTTTTTGCTTATTGGTCGTTAACTAAAATCGTTAATTTACTATACATGATGTTTGGGAAATGCTCCATGTATCTGCACTTGAGTAGAAAATATTACTAAAGTTTCATTCTCTAAAATGCTTATACATATACATATATATCTACTAATTCCAAAAAATGCAATTTAATATCATTACAAACATTCAGTTTACGATAATTTGAAATATGAATCTTAAAATAAATTGTGAAATTTTTAAAATTCAGAAAAGAAATTTTTTCCCTGTGTATATTATTTTGAAAAATCGTTGCATTTGATATTTGAATTTCAACAAATGTTATATTGCTTTCAAAAAGAAAAAAAATTTCCTAACATAGAACAAATCGAAATTGAAACATAAAATGATACCTCTTTCCATATATATATATATATGTATATATAAAGAAACCATAAAAATGCTTGCATAATTTAAAATAGAAAATGGACCATGAAATCAAACGCTTTGAAAAATGCAAATACTCCTACATATATATATGTGTATAGTATATTAAATTTCGATTTGAATTTGATATATTCAAAAATGATAAAAAAATAAAAAGAATAAAATTCTTTTAAAGTTAAAATACCTATATATTCCGGTATGTACCCTTTTGAAATATTGAAAGGTAAAATTGAGATCTCGAGAAATCGATTGAATTCAAATACAACTTACATCGTTCCATTGCGGTAAAATTTTTCACCTGAAATTGAATGTGTACTAAATTTAGTTTGCAATAAATTAACCTTAATAAACTTGAACTTCTTACTATATAAATACGAACGATTTAAATTTGTAAGTGCGATGATTATATTTCTTACGATTTTTCAGATGAAAAAAAATATCGACAATCAATTCAATTGAAATGCCTACAATTAAAAAAAAAACCATTTTCTAAATTTTCTTTTTCTTATAAAATTAATTTTCATATTTTTTTCTAATATTGCTTATTTCATAATGGAAGTACATATTATTGAGTTAGTAAATTTTTTTTGGTATATTTCGATGTTATTTAACGATCAACTGGTATTTAACACTGTACGACGTTTAGTATTACCAATAGTAAACACTAGGAGCGCTGCCATAGCCTCACGTGACTAATTCTTTAGTACCTATATGAAAATTGATAATCTAGTAATTTGTTAGTCAAATATTAAGTAATACCAATTGAAAAATGAAAATTCTACTAATTTTAGAGAGAAGTCAAAGATAATGGTTTTGTATATTTATATTTATTCCAAAAATGAAATTAATTTATTATTTTTATTAATTTCTTTCAAATTGTCATAAGAAAAAAAAATTTAATTCTGCTATAGGGAATAAATGTAGATTTTTTCCAATTTCATTTTATTCCTTTTCAGTTTAATTTACAAAGATTAATTTAGTCAATTTACTTCCAAGTTTCTACGTGTGGTTGATTAGTCAGCTTCACAGAGCGAGAAAACCTGGGATCGATTCCTTTGCGCTCATCTTTTTTTTCAATTTTCTCAAATAGCATTAAAAGAAATAGAAATTTACTTATTTCTATTCTTTACGTGAAATTAAAAAAAAAAGATGGACTTTTTCCATATGAAATGCAATTAACTTTTTTAATTTTAATAATCCAAATTCATAATAATTATAACTATATAGGGGGCGATCTATAGGCGGGGCAAACTTTTAATCTCAAATTTTGTTTATACATTTTATTTCAATAAATTATTAAACTTTCACGTGAGCAATACTTGTAAAGGTAATCGCGAAAAATTGACAAAGTTGTCAAACATTAGAAGTTAAAAAATTTGAAATTCCCCAAAATTCCCTAGGTATCACTAGATACACTCGTGGCTGCCTACATGTTAGAAACTTTTTAAAATATGAAATCAATTATTATTTTCTACTAACATGATCAACACCCTAGGATCCTAGAAAATTAAAAAATACTGCGCAGCTGTACAGGCCATAGAAACTGAGATCGACCAGTGCGCATCACACAGAAAAAACTTGGACTCATTTTTGTTGCAACTCATTTTCTTTTGGGTATCGAAATGAATATGGGACAAACTTCATGTTATTCAAAATGATATTGGCTGGAATTTCAGATTTCTAAGTTGGCATCATAAGCAGAGTAATTTTGTATTTCAATTATTGTTTCTAATATTTCAACAACACCAGAAAGATTATTTTGACCAGTACGAATATTTAGAAGTTTTTAAATAAAAATTATTTATTATTATTTACGTAGATAATAATTAATTTCATAAGTTTTTAAATTTACCGCTATTATTTAAGTTGGCAGTACCGTTCCTGTTGTCAAAACACATGTTTTCATTTTTCTAACCTAAAAACATATTTCCTTTATTATTTTATTACGCGATTACTAGCAATTTTTAATCAAATATATTAAGTCTAGCGTGTTATTTACTTCTTTGTAATTATTATATTTCATTTTTTTGTGCAAAATTATTCGTTATTTCACTATATTTTTTCCATTTTTCTTTTTCTCAAAATGAAACTTGCCTGTTTCATTTTGATACTTTTACCTTAGAACTCGAAATGAAACAACCAGTTTCATTTTTGTTGCGAATCAAATTGAGTATAGAATCTATACTCAATTTGAATTCAGGTTTTTTCTGTGCATTTATGTTGGAAACTTTCTAGAATATTTTAATGAAATATTTCAGCAAAATTACAAGGCAATATTTCCTATAGGCGGACATTTCCCTAATTTCAGCAATATTTCAAGGTCTTCGCATTGGAATATTTCAAAATTTCACTGAAATATTTCAGAAAAATTTAGGAAATATCATGTGTTGTGTGGGCAGCGAGTAGTTTTACCGATATTAATAAAAATGTGCCACTTTAGTACGTTCAGTATATGATTCCTATGTTAAATGTTGAAAGTTTGAAGTTGAATATTTCAGTTTTTAGCATGGCAAAGGGTACTGGGTTTTTTTTACCACTTATAAAGTATGTACATAAAATCGGACAAATGCGAGTTACACTCGCATTAAAACCGAAGGTTCCGTACCCTTAAACCTAAAATATTTGAGGGGTTTAAAGTTTGAAGGCCTAGATAGAAAACATAAGCATAATCATAGACATAAACATCGAACATAATCTAGGCATAAATTTGAAAATAATGTGAGCACATAGATTTGAAAATAAATTAGTAAAACTAAAAAATAATAAAAATATCAACAAATAAAAAATGTCAAAAAATAAAAAAAATAGCAAATGGTAAAAAATAGAAAATGGCAAATTATAAAGAATGGCAAAACACTACAAAAAATATAGCAAGCACAATTGGAGTTGAAAAAAATCAGGAATTTGCCCCAAAAAAGAAAGAAAATTTTATCTTTCTGGGTCCAAAAATTTAAAACTTAAGGAAAAAGTACACTTTTTAAAAAAATTGTATGTTTCGATAAAACTCAATTAAAATAATTGCCTATTATGTTTATTAAATTTTTACTATAATCTGCACTCAAAAATACGTAAAAGTTTATAAATTTGAAACTCTTTAGATAAAATTTTCTTTAGTTTTTGGAGAAAAATCATGATTTTTATCGAAAATTATCAGTTTTTCCTTGAAAACGCTATGATAATCAACTCGAATCGTTCTCGCTATATTTTTTCTGTAATCTACACTCTCTAAATTTGAATCAGTAGAAATTTTACTAATTCAATCAGTACTTTTCATTTTAACTGAAGTTTCAGTTATTTTTTGAAATTTACTAATATAATTATAGTGAATATGCAAGCAAAGATTTTGCGCCCGCCGCCATATATTTATATTACTGATTCAATCAGTAATTGATATTTTACTAATTGAATCAGTAAATTTCTACTAATTGTCAGTTGCTCAATTCTCGCTATGATGCCAATTAGTAGATTTCTACTGCTAATCAGTAAAATATGACTGATTCAGATTTAGAGAGCACGTAAAAATACGTAAAAAATTATAAATTTGGATCCCTTAGGATAAAATTTTCTTCTTTTTTTATTCGAAAAATCCATGATTTTTTCTAAAAATATGAGTTTTCCTTAAAAACAATATGATCATCAACTCCAATCGTGCTTGCTATATTTTTCCTGTAATCTACACACAAAAATACGTAAGTATACTAAATATGAACTGTCTTGGTCAAATAGTGTGTGCGCTAGGTGGATTAAACGCTTTTTTTCAAAATTTTTGATTTTTCCTTGACAAAGCTATGTAAATCGATCCGAATCATGTTCGCTATATTTTTCCTCTAATTTTCACGTAAAAATACATAAATGTACCAAATTTGAGCTCTCTATGTAAAAAAATGTGGCCACCAGAGGGGGGAGGGTACATAGTCATTTTTAGGGATTTTTCGTAAAAATTCATGGTTTTTCCTTGACAACGCTATGGTAATCAATTTCTATGAGATTCGTTATATTTTTCCTGTAATCTACACGCCAAAATACATATATGTATACCAAATTTCAGCCCTCTAGATAAATTCGTGTGGCCACTAGGGGGGGGGGGGTTACATTCCTTGCTTCACTAGTCTCATTAATAGGGTTCCCCCTTCAGGTACGGAACCCTAAAAAAAGAACATTTTCCCAAAGTTAAAAAAAATTCTATCAAAAATCGATAGCAGGAGAAATACCTTAATAAATTTATTTCAAATTTATTCATTAATTTTATTTCCTTGTAATATTCTAATAATCCAAATTCATAATATATAACTATTTTGTTTGACATAAATTTAGGTAAATGAATATTACACAGTATATGTTAAATTGGAGTAAAATGGAAATTATATAAACTGGACCCAAGTTAATTGAATCTGGACTATTCTAATTTGCAGATATGGAAATACGATATGAGAATTTGAATGTGACTATATATAAGAGATCTTAAAAAAAGATATTTAACTCAATTAATTTTCAGCTTCGAAGCGTCAATCATTATTATTATATTATTATTATTCGAGAGAAAGAGAGAGAGAGAGGAAAGAAATTATTGGTTCAGGGAAAAAAAAATATACAGGTGAAAAAGAACGTCGAAAAGAAAACTCTTTCATAGTGTGTGATTTCACCACGTGGATGCGCGAATATCGACCAATGGGGTGAATTCTAGCTTTAGACAGGGTGGTTCTTGCTTTTTAGGCAGTAGCACCACAGTAGCACGCTGCTTTTCGAGCAGTTCACATCTCACGCTTCATATCTAAACAAAAAAAAAAAATACTCAAGTTTCAACTCTTCATAAATAAACTACAAGTATTGGTTTTACAAAAGAGAAGATTGTCTGGAAAATATAACTCTGTGTTATACTTTCAACGAGAATATTTCAACATCATAACATTGTATGTAAGTATTTTTTTAAAAAAATTTTTATAACTTTTTATTATTTTTTTTTTAAATCCAAAAATACTGTAAAATTAAAGAGAATAAAAGGTTTTGAAAAAAAAAATTTTTCGGAAATGGGAAAAAATTGTTTTTTTAATAAGTTAACATTTTGTTTATAAGTATGTGTCTTTGCGCTGTAATTCTGAATCTTTAGAGACGTGCGCTTACGTTGATGAACAATTATTATGCAGATAAATTATTTATTTAATGTACATATATATACGCGTGTAAAACCCCTTTGAGATTGGTAGATTACAAATCAAGTCAATAAATCTTTTATTGAATTGCACAATAATTTTATAAATATCTATAAACAATATTTCCGAAAAAATTGGAGGAGCAATTTTTCAAGACTGATAAATTCATTTTTGAAATTTTTTTCAATATGATTTTTATCAATAATAAGTTGAATTATGTATAAAAATTGTTTAGTAACCAACAATTTTTAATGGATTTATCAGGTTTTGAAAAAATGACCCTCATTTTTAAAATTAATGCCTACAATTTTTTTAACACATTTTTATTATTTGAAAAATATTCCAAATTTCAATATAAACAGATTGTTTTTTTAATTTGACTATACATATTGCTCGAATAATTTAACATCTTTTGCATATATTAAAAAAAAAGTAAATCAAATTTCCGCAGAAACTATATTTATACATCTTCCAGTTTGAATATTTAAAAATGATTTTTTGCTTCATTTTTATGAATTTATTTAGATTAGTTAATAAAAATCTAATTTACTGAAACCAAGCGTTTCAAAAATAAATATGAAGAACAATAAAAAGTTTTAATTTGTTAACGAACGTTTTGAGACACAACTCATGCTTCATTAGAGAAGAACTAATTGGTTGGTAATTAGGATTTAAATTGCTTGAAATTAATGTTCATTTTACATTTTGCAAAATATCAACATTCTCGAAACTGTTTAATTCCCCCTATATTAAAAAAGTTTATTCGTCTGTAATAATGATATACTAAGTACGTTTAATCTCAGAACGAGAAATTTTCTCAACATTTTTCTTATAAAAAGTTAATCTGCAATCTTAAAGATTGCACACAGATCACGAAAGAGAGATCTTTACGAGGTTTTTGAAGCCAGCAAATATTTATAAAACAACTAAAGGTGTGAAAAAAATAATTTCTTAAATTTTACAAAACTTTTTGTTTTTTTGAATTTTACAAAATTCGTATGATTTACAAAACAATTTTTATAAATTTAATCAATTATTTTTTCTTGTATTTATAATATAATTTATAAAATATTATATGCGACGACGAAGAATTGCACTGAGAGAAATGGATAGTAAGATCTTGATGGTAAGAAATAGATGTTATATCAGGAACCATCATTATGTTACTCAGTACCATCAAAGATGTTACAGAAATAATATGGTAATATTACCCACTACAATCCAAAGTGTCCTTTATTTCCACTAACTCAACGATTTTATCTTAATAAATGTTTGGATCAAATAAATTATTAATTTTAATGCAGAATTGCCAGGGGTCAGGGAATAATCAGGAAATTTTATCAAAAGTACTGGAAAAATATTAAATTTCCAGAAATGCTATAGAAATTGTGATTTCTGAAAATTTTAATTAATTAATTATAATAATAGTAGTAATAGATATAATATATAAAAAATAATTACAATAATTAATATGATAACATTATTATTATTGTCAATATTAAAATTATAATAATAATAATAATAATTAGGAGCCATTCATTAATTACGTAAGGACGATTTTGGCTAATTTTGACTCCCCCTTCCCTCATGTAAGGATACATAAGATTTTTCGGACCCCACCACCTCCTTCTTACGTAAGTTTTTGACAATATTAATGTATAATTAAAAAATTAATTACAACTATACAAATGAAAAATACTTGGCAAAATCTTACGTAAGAGTAGCTTCCCCCCACCCGCCAACGTAAGACCATGTAGAGATTTTATAAACTCCCCCCCCCCTCCCCCTGTGGACCCTTATGTAATTAATGAATGGCCCCATATTATTATTATTATTATTATTATTATATAATTAAATAACTTTAAGAAAATTAATATTTTTATTACAAAGCAATATAATGAAAAAAAAATTGGATAAGTGCGAGTTACACTCGCATTAAAACCGAGGGTTCCGTACCCTTAAACCTAAAATTTAAAGGGGGTTAAAGTGTGAAGGCAGGTGGAAAAAGTCCAATTTTGCTTAATTTTTCCTGTAATGTGAGCATAAAAACACATAGATAGACACATAGTTACATATAACGAAAATTATCAGTTTTTCCTTGAAAACGTTATGATTATTAACTCCAATCATACTCACTATATTTTTCTTGTAATCTACACGTAAAAATACGTAAAAATGTATAAATTTGAATCCCTTAAAAGATAAAATTTTCTTCTTTTTTTTATTCGAAAAATTCATGATTTTTTCTAAAAATATGAGTTTTCCTTAAAAACAATATGATCATCAACTCCAATCGTGCTCGCAATATTTTTTTCACAACGCCCCTAACTAAAACTGCACTTTCTACAGCTCTGTGGAGCTTCGAAAGTAGCCAATGGCAGACGAGATTTGACTTGTCCACTTTCCTCCCGCTACGGCATGAATTTTCTTCCCCCCGGGAAGAAAGTTGATGACGTAGCGGAAGGAAAGTAAATGCGAGCGTTCTGATTGGTTAGTTAGATGGACACCTATTTGTCCTCTGTAGTGGAAAGATGAAACTATAAGCTAACCTCTGTTTCTCACCGGCCGGTGTATTTTGTACTTACTTATAACGAATCGTATTTATTCTTTCGATTTTGTAATTTTTGTGTCTTAAACAATAGTAATTTAAGGAGTTTATTAATGTGTTAAAGTCAATGTCCCAGTGTACACCGCCAGAATTATCAGAAGCAGCAAAAAATGCTGTTTTGATTTTACCTTGACAAAGCTGTGTAAATCGATCCGAATCATGTTCGCTATATTTTTCATGTAATTTTCACGTAAAAATACATAAATGTACCAAATTTGAGCTCTCTATGTGAAAAAATATGGCCACCAGGGGGGGGTACATAGTCATTTTTAGGGATTTTTCGTAAAAATTCATGGTTTTTCCTTGACAACGCTATGGTAATTAATTTCTATGAGATTTGTTATATTTTTCCTGTAATCTAAAATTCTTTATATATTTTATAAAAATTTAAATTTTTTACATTTAGAATAATAGACAAATCGAATAAAACTACTCGAAACAATTTCAGTAGCCGTGGTCGTTAACGCGCTCTTAGGTTAGGTTTTAGATTAGGTATAGTGCGTCAGGGGTTCTATTATCGTGGGTTTCGAATTTGAATTTAATTGTAAGAGTTGATGAAAGAAGTACAGGCGTATAAATAATCCTAGAAGCTGATTATCAATTATGAAAAATATTAATTTGAATAAAAAAACATATACATTATTGAATGAAATAATTTTCATAATTGATTTAAATTATTTTTTAATTGTTCCAATTACTATATTAATATTTATATGTTTTAAGTAATTTAAATTTTATTCCAAATTACTATTTATTAGATACGATAGAATCAAATATTTAGATCTACTAAATATTTATTTGGTTCAAAATACATATTTAATAGATAATAGGCAAGTAAATCATTTGTTCTGGATTAAATAATTGTTATTTGACCCAATTTTTTTTTTTTAATTGTATTAAGTATTTCATTGAAAGTGTAAATAATTTTATTTTTGTCCCTTTTGAATCACAAAAAATTGCCATTGAATAATGATTAAAAATGTATTATATATTTACTTTTGCTAAAATACTATTTAATTATAAATCACTTTTTGGCTTAAAAATAAAATATCAAATTTTGGACGATTAACTTTTGATTTGAATGTCTATCCCATTCCTCTTTAAATAGATATTTCCTGAGTTTCACAGGTGAATATTTAGAAGATTGCTGATCAACTTTATATATATATAGGAAATGTTTGAGAAATTTCTTGAGATAATTATCCCGCAGATAGCACGGCGATATTTTTCAGAAAGTTCACTAGGCGTGCTTTCAGTTATGCGTACGTAGTTTAAAGTTTTTAATACATCTATAGATAAATTGTAACAAGTGGCGAAGGAAAGATAAGAAAAATTTTCAGAATTTTTTCTATAAAAACAATATTAAATTTTATTTTATTAATTTTTAAATAATAATACTAATAATAATAATAGTAAAAAACATTAAAAAAATTAATAATAATAGTAAATAATAATAATCATAGAATTAATAATTAATTAGTCAATTTGAATTAGGTTCTTTAAGTCGTCAAAACTGAAATACAAAAACTAACCTCAATAATGATAATACGTCTATTGAAATACTAAAATTATGTTGCAGCACCGACAACCAATAGAGATTTTTTGAACCGTTTATATTTTAATAAATATAATTTTTTATTAAAAGTTATTTTTAGACTTGAATACACTTTTCTTGTTTAAAAAAAATTTGCAAATTCAATTATATTTTTTGTTATTTTTATATGTATATTATCCCTTTTACATCCCAGCCGAACAGAGAAATGAAAAAAAGAAATCTAAAGTGGTTCTTATAGTTTTTGAGGCCGCTGATTACGAATTCGGTGTTAGTTTTCAAAAATTCAAAATGTCGGATCCAATATGGCGGACAAAAATTGAAATATCGTTTAGAGTTGCCTGAAACTAATTACTCGGGAGTTTTTGGGGTCGCTGATTACTAATTGGGTGTTAGTTTTCAAATATTTTACTTTCTTGTGAAAGCAATATATGTATGTATATATATACTATATATATATATATGATGTTGACTATTAGTTGCGAATAAGAAAAGCCGACTCAATCTGAATATTAAATTGTTCACTATTAAATAATTAAAAATTATACAATTTTCACAAGATCAAGTTGTTTAATTAACAACCTCTAAAACTTCTAGTAAACAA